AATAAGTATTAGTGGGAGGATGTTGAGAAGATAGTGGCACCAACAGAGCTTTTTTTTCTGGTATCGGGGATCAAACTCGGGACCTTGCAATCAACCAAGCTTTTTAATCTCCCCACAAAGCCTCATAAAACAGAGCAACTAGATTGCAAAACTAAAAATCCACAGAGTATGTACTCCAACCGCAGTGGAATTAATTTAGAGATAAGTAAAAATAAAACATCTATAAATCCCCATATATTTGATGATTAAGGGCCCAAATTAGCAATGTCAGTATAAGCTGTTAGCATCACCACAGATCTTAACAGATACTAAAAGGATAATAAAGAAATAGTAGAAACAACTTTATACTACAAAGTTTAACAACTTACATAATTGTACAAATTCTTTGAAGAATACAAACTACCAAAGCTCACTCAAATGATAAGTAATATGTATATGTATTAAAGAAATAGAAATTGTATCTTAACACACAGAATTCTAGGCCCTATTCATTTTTACTGGTGAATCCTGCCAAAAAGCTCAGGAAGAAAATGAACAAATAATTCTCTGTAAATTATTCCCAGAAACAGAAATGGAAGAAACACTTTCCAATACATTCTATAATGCTTTCTGTATCACACCCATCCCAAATCCCAAAAAAGACATTATAAGAAAACTGCAGGCAATTATCCTTTATGGACATAGACATAAAAATTCTTAGTGAAATATTAGCTTGGGTTTATAGCAAGTTCAAGGCCAGCCTGGGCTAAGTGTGAGACCCTATCTCAACAACAATAAAAGCAATAAAATATGCTTAACAGGTATTAACAAATTGAGTCTAGCAACATAGAGAAAGGATAATGCATTATGACCAACTAGCATCTATCCCAAGAGTACAAGACTGATTTAAAATTGGAAAAGTTAGCACATTCACAGACTAGAAAAAAAGAACTATATGATGATCTTAATCAGTGCAGGGAAAGTGTTTACATAATTCAAAATACATTTATGATAAGAACTCTTGCTAAGGGCCGGGGATTTAGCTCGGTGGTTCTGCCGGCGCCTGCCTCAGAAGTGCAAGGTCCCAAGTTCAATCCCCAGCACCAAAAAAAAAAAAAAAAAAGAACTCTTACTAAGTTAGGAATGAATAAAAGGGAACTTCCATAACGTGATAAAGGACCTCTACATAATACTACAGCTCACATAATTAATTATAAAAGACTTAGTCCTTTCACATAAGACTGGAAAAAAGGAAGGCTGCTCTGACTACTTTATTGTAATATTTTACAGATGTCCTAACCAGTATAATACAAGGAAATGAAATGAAAGGAAAGGCATAGAAATTGAACAGAAAGAAGAAATAATCATTTTTCCATAAATGGCATGACTGTCTATGTAGAAAATCGAAAGCTACCAGAACTAGTGATTTTAGGAAGGTTGTAGGATATAAGGTTATATAAAAAATCAATTATTTGTTTGTTTGTTTGGTACCATGGATTGAACTCAGGACCTTGCACTTACGAGGCAGGGGATCGGAACCACTGAGCTAAATCCCTGGCTAAAATCAATTATTTCTATGTATTGCAACAAGTAGAAACAAAGAAATAGACCTTTATAATAATACCAAAAAGGTAAATACTTAGGGATAAATTTAGTGAAATATATGCAATACCTGTGCTATAGTTTTTATATGTCTTCCAAGGGCTCATTGAAGGCTTGGTCCTCAGGATGTGGCATTATTCAGAAGTAGTAGAACTTCTAGGAGCTGGGGTCTAGTAGAAGGAACTTAGGTCTTTAGAGTTCTGCCTTTGAAATGGATATTGGGACCCAGGCCCCTTCCTTCCTTTCTCTCTCTCTCTTTCTGCCTCCCAGCTGTCACAAGGTGAGCAATTTCCACTGCCATATATCTCTACCATGATGTACTGCTTTGCTACAAGCCCCAAAGCAATGGAGCCAACTGATCGTGGACTGAAATTTCTCAAACTATGAGCCAAAATATCAGCCTTTTCTCTAGAAGTTGTTTATCTCAGGTGTTTTGTTACAATGAATGGTGAAATTGTGTGTATTCTGAAAACCACAAAATATTATTGAAATAATATCTAAATTAAAGGGAAATATATAATGCTCATGGATTTCTAAGACTCAGTATTATGAGAATGTCACTTCTCAAATTCATCTTTAGATTCCTGGCATTCTCAATCAGAATCCCAGCAGGCTTTTCTGATGAGCTGATTCTACATGGAAATGCAATGAGCATAAAATAATAAAAACTGCTTTTGAAAAAGGACAAATTTATAGGACTTCTGTTACCCAATTTCAATATTTATTATATAGTAATCACGAAAATGTGACTTTGGTGTACATATAAACATTTAGATCAACGAAACAACATAGCCCAGAAATAGGCCCACAAATACAGTATAGGGTCATTGATTTTTACAAAGGTACTGTGTTAAAGTCAACTTCAAGGAGGAAAGATTTATTTCGGCTCATAGTTTCAGAGGCTTCTGTCCAGGTCACTTGGCCCCTTTGTTTCTAGGCCTGAGGTGAGGCACAGCATCATGGCAGGGAGCACATGGTAGAGCACAACTGCTTACCTCATGATATCTAGGAAGCAAAAAGAGTGAGAGAATTTGTTTTTATAATAAGTTCTTCCCCTCAAGCCCATTGAGCTATGAATCCATAAGTGGATTCATCAAGATCCAGTCACCTTCCAAAGGCCTTACCCCTGAAAACTGCTACACTGGGGACCCAGCCTTCAACACATGAACTTTGGGGTACATTTAAGATCCAAGCCATAATAGGTGACATGGGAATTCTGTGGGAGGAAATTGGTATTTTCAATTAATGGGGTATGAAAAAATGAATATCGATATGCAAAATATGAATTTCAACCCTTATCTCACACAGTATACAAAAAATTATTTAAAATGATCTATAGGCCTAAATATAAGAGTAAGAAATATAAAACTGGACAAAAAACATAGGAGAAAATCATCACAACTTGGGGATTGATAAATATTTCTTAAACACAAAAAGTGTGATAAATGGAACTTCACTGAAATTAGAATCTTTTGACCTTCAAAAGGTACTGTTAAGATGAAAAGACAAGCCATAAACTGAGAGAAAATATTACAAAACATCTGATTTTAAAAACCCTTGGGCCTGGGATTTAGCTCAGTGGTTCTGCCACCTGCCTTGCAAGCACAAGGTCCCAAGTTCAATCCCTGGTACCAAAAAAAAACAAAAACAAAAAACCTTTGAACACAGCCTGTGTAAAGAACACGTGTAATCAATTATAAGAGGGCCAAGAATTTAGCTTAGTGGTACCACACGTGCCTGGCAGGAGCAAGGTCCTGAGTTTGATTTCCTGTATCAAAAAAAGAATCAATTATAAGATAAAAACAACCTAACGATGAAAAAGTAGACGGGCTGGGGGTGTAGCTCAATTGCAGAGCCCTTCACTTAACAATTTAAAAATGTGCCATGAGCTGAGGATATAACTCAGTGGAAGAGCCTTTGCTTAGCATATTCAAGGCTGTTGGTTTGACCCTCAGCACTACAAAATAAAATAAAAATGAACAAAATATTTGAATAGATATTTTGCAAAGAAAATATGAATATAAATAAGCACTTGAAAAGATGCTTAAGATCATTGTCATCAGAGAAATCCAAACTAAAAATCCCCCCCAGATACCACAACCCACCTACTAGCATGGATAAAAGTAAAAAAGACTGGTAATGTTAAATGAGGCAAAGATGTGGAGCAATTGGAATTTTATACATTGTTGATATATGTCTATATTCAGGTATTTAAAACAAATACTCATGTTTCACATGCAAAATAATGTATCTCTAGAGTTCTAATAATTGGAAGCTATTTCCATGATACCTTGACATTTCCTGTTTCTCTAAATGACAGCTCAAATGAGTGATAATTATAGGACTTCTTTATTCTCAGAAATCCAGTATGAAATATAAATTAGAGGAAATCTGAAATGTTCAATATACAACCAGTATGGACTAGAATGTTTTGCTTATAAGCCTGAAGTTTTATTGCTTAGGCTACAACCAAGAATCTTTATGATAACATAGGGCCATTCTCATCTAAGCACTTAAAAATACATGCTTTTAGCGGGCTGGGAGTGTAGCTCAGTGTTAGAGCCCTTGTCTAGCATCCACAAGACTGAGTTTGATCCCCAGCTATGCAAAGCAAACTCCTTTTTTTAAAAAAAAATTTTAAATTAAAAATACAATTCAGTAAAGAAACTGTTTTTGGAGTCTCTACAATATTGAAAATGTTTGCTTATCCTTAAATGTTTCCTTATAGTGTCTCAGATGTATAAAATTCTTGGTATGATATTTGTAGATTATTAATATCTTTGTTTTATTGGGCGATACAAAAATTAATTCTTGCCTTTGTGTGTGTGTGTGGTCTTGGAAATGAACTCAGGAGTGCTCTACCAGTGAGCTACTTTCTCAGACTTTATTTTAGCCTCTTGCTAAGTTGCCCAAACTGGCACCAAACTTTCAGTTTTCCTGCCTTAGCTTTCCTAGTAGCTGGGATTATAGATGTGTGGAATTATGCCTGGCTGAATTTTGCTTTTAAATCACCTTGGGTTTAATTTATAGGACTAGGCTAATCTGGAAAAAAGACTTGTGGCAGAATTATAACCACTAGCCTACATGGCCATTTGTTATATCCTATTTCTAGGATGGGGCTGTGAAGACTACTGAACCATAGACCCATGGGATACTTTGCCATCAGAATCATTTTAAATAGGAGAACAAAAGGTTTAGACTTAAAAATATATATATCTGTCACTGGATCTTTGCTTGAAATATTGCTCAATAATATGCTCCAAAAGTAAAAAGAATTAGATGTAAATAAGAATGATGAGATATGTGGTTTTGGAACAGTTAAATAATTTGCCCTTTTGTAGATTTTAGCAACCTGAGGAATGAACTATGATGGAATTCGGAAGATAGGCAGTTTGCTAATTTTAATGCCAACCAGCTGGGTGTGGTGGCTGCACACAGTTGTATTCCCAGCACTAGGGAGGCTGAGGTAGGAGGATCACTGCAAGTTTGAGGCCAGCCTGGGCTACATAGTGAATTCAAGCCAGCCTGAACTACATAGCAAGACTTTGTCTCAAAAAAAACAAAACAAAACAAAAACCAACCTACATGAATTAATCTATTCTTTATAGCTCTGTTGAAAGACTTACTTAATAATGTTGAGGGGCCGGGGATTTAGCTCAGTGGTGCCGTCACCTGCCTCGCAAGCACAAGGTCTTGGGTTCGATCCCCGGTACCAAAAAATAATAATAATAATAATGTTGAAGGATAGTTTAATAATATTCTTACAAAATACAGCAGTCCTCATTAAATGAAGAAAGATTTCTTATACACAAAAAGCAGTATTGTACTACTACATGTGTAGTTGTATTGGCCAAAGTGCTTAAATAATTTACTCTTATGTGTATGCACAAATAAAATTAGATTTTTAAAAATTGTTTAATTTTGGGACTTGTAGTAAATATTTTAAAAAGTCAAGTTAATGATATATTTGGTGCTCATTAATTGAATGAAATCATATACCAGCCTTGTTTGAGATATTAATAGTTCTTCTGTTTTATTCCCTAAGCATATGTTCAGAAATACTTTATATCTGTGGGTGGACTGGATATATTGTCTCAGGTTCTTGTACAACTGGAATCTGATTCACACAAGACTCCTTCCAGTGCTAAGCTTGCAGTAGTGGTAACAAAGACAATGGATGCGTGTATTGCTGATAATCGTGAGTAAAAAATGCTTATTAGTAAGTTTTCTACAATTCAGTTTTGTTTGAGTTCAGCATGGTGAGTGTTGAAATGGTAGATTAAACACTAATATAGATTAGACTTTCAGCTTCTCAACAAGTGGAAAGGAATCTTAGAAATTATCTAGTCCAATACTTTTTTTTCCTATGGAAGTTATAACTTCATATCTAGGCCTTCTAACTCCAAGTCTAATGATAGTCTGTAAATCTTTATAATACAAGACTCTATTGGCAATTACAAATAACTGCAAAAGTAAGTTAAAATAAAACAGTGAGGATCGCTTCTCGGCCTTTTGGCTAAGATCAAGTGTAAAACAGTGAGGGCCAGGGATTTAGCTCAGTGGTTCTGCCACCTGCCTTGCAAGCACAAGGACCCGAGTTCTATCTCCAGTACCATAAATAAATAAATGAATGAATGAATGAATAAATAAATAAATAAAAAAGCAGTGAGTGTTTGTTATGTCCTGAGCTCCAGAAATAGAAAATTTATTAAGACATAGTCCCTTGAGGAAATCACAACCTTTTTCTTAGCACCAGTATTGTTAGACTCTGGGTGAACTCTAGTAAAAGCCCCATGAGGAGAAGTACGGCTTAAAGTAACAGAGTTCTTGAATTTTATCACCTCTCAGCATAGGTTCAGGTATGTTTCATTAACATCAGTAGAATCATGGTCAGTTAAGAGAATATTTCAATATTAGGCAGAATTTGATTATGTAGGTATGTCTTTACTACCGGTATCCAATGTAGATAAGGGATATGTAAGATAAAAATGGACATACTCAGTTTTTAGGAAGGTAGTATTACTTCATATTTACAACATTATGCAGAATAACTAAGAAACAAAAAAGTTTGCTTTGAAAGAATCAGTGAGAACCATTATAATAAGCCATCTTATTACAGTGAGTTCATATTAACACCTTTGCACTCATGTATATTAGATGTTATATTTGTATATTAGATACTATGTATATATATGTGTATATATATATATACTGGATAAGCTCTGAAAAACATATATGTACATTTATATGTTTTAAGTTTCTATTTACCATTTTTTTCTTTTTTATACTAATAGCTACTTTTGGGGTGGTATTATCCAAGTACTGCATTGTTTCCAAACTTCTGGCACTGTTGCCTCATGAAAGTCTGGATTCAGGAGAAAAATTTAGCATCATGCTTGCTCTTGGTCATTGCACAGAGGATTGTGGTTAAGTATTGGATTTCTTTAGTGTGCTTATTAAAACAGTAGTGAAAATACATGTTTTTGGTTTTTTTCCCTTCTGGTCATATAAAAAGCTTAAAGCATTTCTTTGTCCCAGTAATTTAGACCCTAAACTGGTTATTTTAGTTCCTCATCGTCCTCCACTCATTGTATTCAGTTAGTCTCTAAGGTCTATAGTTCTACTTCTCTTGCCCCTTTCTTATCCCTTTCTGTCCATTGCTAGTGTTACCCTCTTAATTTTGCCCCTCAACCCCTTAGTGTCTTTCATCAGGATTACTGCATTAGCACCACAAAAGCTACCTCCCTCTGCTCCTTTCTGTCTGTGTTTGTTTGTTTTTTGAGACAGTGTCTCACTATGTAGCTATGTAGCTCAGGCTCCCTTGAACTCACTATGTAGCCCAGGCTGGCCTCAAACTTGGGGCTATCCTCCCTCCTGCCTCAGCCTCCCGAGTACTGGGATCACAGGCGTGTGCCACCACATCCAGCACTCCTTTCCTTCTTTCTCCATGTTTTAGTCTTCTCTTTATATTGCTACACAAATCTAACCCTGTTACCCCTTGATTAAAAACTTTAAAATTTTCTTTCTTTGGCTGTTACTCTCTCCTCTCTCTCTATTCTTTCTCCTCTTTTCATTTTCCTTCTCTCTACTTTCCGACCTCCACTTTTCTCTCTGTCTCCTAGACTCCTCCTTTCCTCTCTTTCCTTCCTACTTTTCCACTCTTTTCCCACTGCCACCTTTACTTCTGCTTTCTTCCTGCCCTCACTTTCTTCTTCTATCAGTTCTCTCTTCTTTCTCTTAGCCTCTGTATTATGTAGGATCAACTCTACCTTTTTTATATTATCTGTTTATTCTGTGGTACTGGGGATTGAACCCAGGGCTTTCTCATCAAGCTACATCCTCAGCCCCCCTCCCCCTTTTAAGTTTTCTATTTCAAAACATGGTCTCACTAAGCTGCTAAGTTGCCCAGGCCTGGTTTGAGTTGTGATCCTCCTGCCTCAGCCTCTCAGTGTACTGGGCTTACAGGCATGTGCCACCACACCTGGTTGCTCTACCTTTTTGCAAACCAAGTAAGGGTAGTTTGTTTACTCTTAATGAGAAATGATACTACTCTGGCTATATCTCAGAAATCACCACTTATTTTCTCTAAGTAGATTATTTCATAAATTGAAAATACTTTCAAATTTACATTTTTCTCTATTTTTAAAAAATTTGAACTATGTTTGTGATTATCCCAAGGAAGAATTATGGCCTCATGCATATAATTTATGACAAAATAATTGTCTTCTGTTTTAATTTTCCATGTTTTCCAGAGGAAAATCAGTATGATCTTTTTAAAAACAATGGACTTCCACTCATGATACAAGCTTTAACTGAATCTCAGAATGAGGAACTAAACAAAGCTGCCACTTTTGTGCTTTACAACTGCAAAAAGATTAGTAAGTTTACTGTTATATAAGAAAATATAGGGCTGGGAATTTAGCTCAGTGGTTTCGCCACCTGCTGCGCAAGCCCAAGGACCCGAGTTCGATCCCCGGTACCAAAAAAAAAAAAAAAGAAAATATCAACTAAGGTTTATAAAAAGAATTTATACCTGCTCTAATGAGCCATTCCCTTTTAGCTTCCAGGTGGTTCTTATATTTGAAAGGCAGAGTATATAATTTGGATATAAAAACTAGGGTACTTTCAGCATAGAGCGACCTGTTTAGAAGAGAGCAGCAGTAGAGATATTTCACTTATTTTATGCCACATGGGCAAATTTAGTTTGTAGGACATAAGAACTGAGAGTTATTTATTGCTAAATCATAATATATAAGATATCCTTTTACTTATTTAAAATATGCTAAAATGTCTATTATGTGCTACGCACTGCTGGGAATGGGGATACAGTGATAAAAACACAGTCTGTATACTTAGAGCTTAGTTTAACTACATAAATAAATAGCAATATATAATCTTAAAAATGAGATTATGTATTATTATAAGTTGACTTGAGGAAAGCCAGGCATGCTAGGGCATACCTGTAATCCCAGCACTTGGGAGGCTGAGACAGGAGAATCACAAGTTCATAGCCACCCTGAGCTACATAGCAAGTTCAAGCCTGACTTGGACCACACAGTGAGACCCTGTCTCAAAAAACCAAAACAACAACAACAATAAAACATAAAGGTTATGAAGAGATGGACCACGGTTATTGCAAGCTTATACAAAGGAATCAGACCTAGACTTAAAATAGAAATGTCTTTGAAAGAAAGTGATTCTTGAGCTGAGATCTGAATGACTAGAGGTAACCAGGCAGAAAGAAGAATTGATTACGGGTGAGTGTCTTGGGCCTGAGCAACAGTTAGGGTCAAAGGCTCTGTGGTAGGAGGGAGCCTGATGCATTCAAAGAATTTATGACTAGTATGGCAGAAGCAGAAGGCAGTAGCCATTATGAGGATTGTTGTCTTTGTGGGAAAAAAATTATGGACATAATATGTTTTTTTTAATATTTAAAAGATAGAGGAAGGAACCACTTCATGAATAATGTTTTTAAAAATAACTACTTTGAAGCTTCAGGTGTTGGTTAGTGATAGAACACATGCTTACCATGTATGAGACCTTGTGTTCAATCTGCTGCACTAAAAACAACAACAAAATACGTTAAACCAGTATCCATATTCCTGAGGATATTTGTGTGTCTGGAATAACATTTTCATGTTGTTCTTTTTTCTTGTAACTCTGAAAGGTCTAATTTATGACTTTTTGAGTCTTGGGCCTCTGCTAAGTACTCGTTCCATTATTTTTGTACCAGTTAAAATAATCTAGATGGATGAAATTTAGACAAGGGGTGAGGTGGGGCATGAGGTTATCCTTAAAATGTAACATTTCCAGTAACGTAAAACCATCTTTTCCCCTCCATATTACAAAGCTGAGAAATTATCTCTAAGTCTAGGAGAGTATTCTTTTGATGAAAACGAAGCAGAACAATTAAAGGACATAAATGTAAAAGGAAAGAATCTTGAAGAGTACTGGAAGATAGCAAAGGAAATCCTGCACAAAATAGACCTGCTTGAAAAAGAAGAAAATAAGGTTGGCTTCTTTGTTTCAAAGAATATAAAATTTTTTTCAAATATTTTTAATATTAGAGTTTAGGGAGTAAACATTTTTTCCTCTTCCCAAGTTATTTTTTAAAAATTCATATGTTTTTAAATGTAAATTTTAATAGCAATACTTGAGAAAATATCTTTGGACATAGACCAAAAAATATTGTTAAGGCAAATATGATGAGATATAAAAGACCCATGAGATCTAGCATCTGAATAATAGAAGTTCAAGATGGAGAAGAAATAATCTAATAATCTTTCTCCCGCTACATACCCAACCCCAAATATGCATACACAACTCATGCACACACACTCCCAATAAGTACTTGCGGACACAGTCATATGTCACTTGACAGAGATACATCCTAAGAAATGCATCACAAGACAATTTCATTATTGTGCAAACATCAGTGTGTCATTATACCAATATAATTACTTGATTTGGCCTCTTGATGCAATCAAGACATACAGTAGAGCAGTTGTGCTGGCACAGGCCTGTAATACCAGCACTCTGGGAGGCTGAGGCAGCAGCATTGCAAGTTAGAGCCCAGCCTGAGTAACATAGCAAGACCCTGTCGAAATAAAAAATTTAAAAAGGGCTGGGGTTGTAGCTCAGTGCAAAGGTCCTGAATTCAATGGCCAATACTGAAGAAGGAGGAAAAAAAAGAGATGCAGTAAACTTATGATCTGTGAGGCTGCTGCTAATTTAAAACAGCATACTATTTTATAGTAAACTTTTTTTAATGAGAAGGAATGTATTCTAAAATAATCAAAAGTAAGTATGTAAACCAGTAATACAGTCATTTGTTATCATTATCAAGTATTATGTACTGTACATAATTGTACCTGGTATACTTTTATACAGCTAGCGATGCGGTAGGTTTGTTCTTGGTGACATCATTGCAAACGCATGAGTAATGTATTGTGTTAGGATGGCATGATGGGCACAGTGTTACTAGGTAATAGTAATATTTCAACTCTGTTATAATTTTATGGGACCACTGTCATACGTATTCTGTTGACTGAAACATCATTGTGTGATTTATGACTGTATATATACATTATTATTTTTTCTATGTACATACACTTTGTGTCTTGTATGTCCATGTAGAGTAGTGGTTGCCAGAGGCTGGGGCTAATGGTTGCATAATATTGTGAACGTCCTTAATCCCACCGAACTGTACATTTAGGGTCAGGGTTAGTAGTTTGCATAATGTTTTCAGTGTTCATCCATGTTGTATATAGTATATATCAGAATGTCATTTCTTTCATTTCTTTTTTTAAAAATTGGTAAAAATACATGTAAAATTGATCATTTTAACCATGTTTAAATGTATAATTCAGTGGCATTAGATGTACTTATATGTAATGGTCGCCACAACTTTTTCATCATTCCGAGCTGAAACTCTGTACCCATTAAATAATGACTTCCTATTACCCCTTCCCCTTAGTCCCTGTTAACTACTCTTCCACTTTCTGAATCTATAGATTTGATAGTTTAGGCACTTCCTATAAGTGGAAAGCATAACTTGTCCTATTGTGTATAGCTTATTTTATTTAGCATAATGTCTTCAAGGTTCATCAGTGTTGTAGCAGGTGTGGAGAGTTTTTCTGCACCAACAGTTGATTCTCTGCCATTGCCAGGATATTAAACAAGTCAGTTCTGAAATTAACTCCTGGAGTTAGCACAGACCTCACAGGTTAGGGCTCAGTCTTACAAGACTGCCCTAACTTTAGCCCTGTGTATCAGCAGTTGTCCGTACTCCTGACTAACTGGTTATAAACTTGGGGATTCCTATAACAGCGCCGCAGGTTTGATAACTCATTAGTGTGACTCATAGAACTTAGGAAAAGACACATTTAACTGTTTATTAAATATGATAAAACTGAGGACGAATCAAATGGTAGAGATGCACAAGGCAGAGTACAATGGGAGAGGACACAGCTTCCATGCCCTCTGTAGGCATTGCCACCATCTCGGCACCTGACTGTTCATCCACCCTCACTGGAGGTTGGTGATGGGAAGGGAGGCTGAAAGTTCCTACCCTCTAATCATGTGTTTGGTCATTCTGGTGTTGAGCCCCCATCCTGAAGCTGTCTAAGGCAGAGTTGGCAAACTTATGACAAGCATGTTATTGTGTTTTTCTTTTAAGACAAAAGATGTTAGAGTTGTTTTCTCTAAACTAAAACCTCAGTATTCAGGTTTAATTGCAGTGTTGGCACATTGTGATAAATAAGTGGGTTTTAGGTTGCAATTTGGCACTCTGTCTCTAAAAGGTTCGCCATCACTGGTCTAGAAGTTCCAGCCTGAGTCATCTCTTACCATAAGTACAGATGTAGTCATAAGAGGTTTAATAGGAGTAACAAAGGAAACTCCTTTCACCAAGGACCTTCCAAGGGTTTTAGGAGCTGTATGCCAGGAACTGGGAACAGAAACCAAATTTTGTTTGTTTTGGTTTGGTTTGGTTTTTGTTTTTGTTTTGAGCCAGCATTTCACTGTGTTGTGCAGGCTGGTCTTGAACTCGCAGGCTCAATTGATCCTCCTACCTCAGTTTTACAAGTAACTCGGACTACAGGAACATGCCACTGCACCTGGCTCCAAATATAGCACAGCATGTGTCAGAATTTCCTTTCAAGGTTTTCTTCGTTTTGGTTTTGGTTATAATGAGATGAATTATATTGAAATAATATTGTCATTTTTATTTATAGGAAAATATACAAAGGGGAAAATACAAGAATATTTCGTCCATGAAAATAAATATTCAGGATACACTGAAACATCTCCATGCAGATACTGTTGGAGGTACCACAGCAGAAGATAAGGATAAAAGCCAACCTAGAGAGCTCCAGAGCTCTGAGTCCCTTGGAGTCATTTCGAAAGCTTGTGCAAGTGATGACCAAACAAAGACCCTGTTAAAGAATGCAGATCCAGTTAATGCACTCTATACAGACAGTGGGCAAAATAAAGCTTTGCATAAAGCCACGTCAAGCTGCAATCAAAACCTACATGAAGAGACAATTTTTAGCAAAAAGAATTTTATTTCTCAGTCAAGGTATAGTTTAATACTTGTATATTTATTTACTTAGCAAGCATTGTGTGGTTCAGTGTGCAACACTGTTAAGCACTGAGGATATAAAATGATACAGTATGGTTTTGGGAGTAGTTTCCTGAAGTAGGAAATATTGGCAAAAGAATTTGGATGAGTAAATATGTGCAAGTTCGTCAATGACCTTGCATGTCATACTCAAGATTTTTGGTTTTAGGGCTGGGGATTTAGCTCAGTGGCGCTATGCCTGCCTTGTAAGCACAAGGTCTGGGGTTTGATCCCCAGCACCACCACCCCCCCAAAAAAAACACAAGATTTTTGGTTTTAACTCACAGGGTAAAGGGAGCCATTGAGGATTTTAAGTTAAATGACATAATCAGATTTGAATTTTAGAAAAAACAGTCAAAAAAGAAAACCTAAGTGAAGCCCTCTACCTGAAGTAACAGTGCAAGCATTAGCAATTAAATTTCCTAGGCTGTTTTCAAACTTGAGATCTTCCTACCTCGGCTTCCCAAGTAGCTGGAATTATAAGCATATGCCACCGTGCCTACCCCCGAACAGTTATCTTTACTTTTAATAATTTGATGCCTTTTTTAATTGTGTTGTTATTTTGTTTTGTTTTGTTTTTTAGTGACCATGCTTTTAAACATCCAACTCACGTTGTGAAGAATAGCAAGCAGCAGTTACCAGAAACAGGTATGATTCAATATAGTCTCTTTTTGTTTTTCAAGAAAACAAGTACTTAGGGTCCAGGGATTTAGCTCAGTGATGCTGCGCCTGCCTTGAAAGTGCGAGATCCTGAGTTCAATTCCTGGTACCAAAAAAAACCCCAAAACAAGTATTTAGGTGACTGAGATAGCTAAAAATGTACGTTAATATATCTGCCCTCTAAAGTATAGGACACACCTTTGACTCTTTCTGGTGTAAATGCCTCTAGCACTTTTTACTAATGTCCGGAATCTTTGTGTTTATCTACTAGGATGACCGGATGTGTAGTACTGAGCTAAAATGTATGAAAATCTTGAAACTTAATAAGTTTTATAAATGTCAGGACCTTTTTCATCAAAAATCTTGCATTTTACAGTTTTTTCCCCAGATCCATTTACATTATGTTTGGACATAATAAATAAAGAAATTGTCAGTTTTCAAGCAACTGACAACTGTTCCAAAATGTTGAATTATAGATGCTCAGGTAAATATTTTTTCATTGCAATTGTTTCATAATTAAGGCTTTATATATTTACCTAGAATATTTTTAATTCTTATTTTTATTAGTACATGATTGAATTCATCATGAGGAGTTGGTACATATTCATAGTGTATCTTAATACTTTTTACTAGAATTGACAGTAGTTCTACCTTTGTGATTTAAAATTCATTTCCTTTGTTTTTTTTGGTGCTGGGGATCGAACTCGGGTTCTTGCGCTTGCGGGGCAAGCAGCGGCACCAGTGACACCACTGAGCTAAATCCCCAGCCCCAAACTTTATTTCCTTTGGAGAAATGACAATCTGGAGCATGAAAGCAGTAAAATTAATACCTTCTGTCTGCATTATGTGGTGCTCCCAACATTTGTTTACATAATACAGTTAACACCCATTATTACTTTATTATTGCCTTTTTGTCACAATGCCATCTATAGGTTTAACTTTACTGAGCAAAATAAATATTTCTTATGTTTTTAGAGATCAAATAGATATATATTCTGGATTATGCTCCAAACATTATAGGCATTAAGTAATAATACCTGTTTTTCTTTATAATAAATATGTGTTTTTAGTGCCTCATGCTCTATAATGTTCTACAGTATTTATTCCATCCCTTTTCTTCTTTCACACCTCAGTATTTCTTCTTTGTTCATGCTCACTGGGTTTTTTCCAGATTTTTTGAGACAGGGCTTCACAGAGTTACCCAGGCTGAACTTGAACTCATTGTGTAGCCCAGGCTGGACTGAAACAGTAATCCCCCTGTCTCAGCCTCCTGAGTGCTGAGATTACAGGCACACAAACCCACACCCATATTGCTCATGCTTACTGTTGTACTCTATCAAGAAAATTAAAAGTACTCCACATTGAGTGCAGTCTGTCACTTTTCTTAGCCAGACCTGGTGGCATATCCCATATTCTCAGCACTCTGGGAGGGCTGAGGCAGGAGGATCATAATTTCTGGTCCAGGCTGGGTAAACTTAAAGCAACTTATTGAGACCTTGTCTCAAAATTTTAAAAAATTTAAAAAAAAAAAGGCTGGGGATCTAGCTTAGTGCAGAGACCTTGGGGTGAATCCCCAGTTCGGCCAAAACCAAATAAAAATAAATAAATAGAGAAGAACGTCACAATTCTTCCATTTTTTTTAGTTTTTAATTTTTTATTTCATTAATACATGTTGACAGTTCATGTGGTTTACAATCTTCTTGAGGTTTACAATACCATAGCTTCTTTTTTTTTAATGCCCCTTCCCTCCCACTCTCTCCCTCTTCCTCCAATTCCCCATCCCATTTTCATTCTTGTTGATATTATTAATCTTAGCTCATGTTATAGCATATAGTGTTTACTTTAATTGAGGTTATTAGGTTCCTGTACATGTAATATCTTTATTCTATCTATTTCTCCTTCCCTTCCTCCTCACCCCTTACGATTTTTTCCTTGGACCACTTCCCTATTGTAAGAGATCCATCTCCTTGTCCCCTTCTATCCACTCTTCATTATTCTCTTTGTTTGTATTTTGCCTCACTCAAATGGGAGATACCATACAGTATTTAAGCTTGTATATCTGGTTTATTTCACCCAACATTATGTTTTCCAGGTACATCCATTTTCCTACAAATCTATACATTCTTTATAGCAGAGAGTGAGTTTGACCCAGCATGGAATACATAGTAAGATCCTGTACTAAAAAAAAAAAAGCCTTATTCACTTTAGCATCTTTGTATCTGTATTGTTGACTACCATTCCTTTGAACTCTTTTTTTCCTCTCGTAAATCTAAAGCCACAGTTCCCAAATTGCCCACCCACACTCCCTGGAGCTCTGCAATGAATTCACGAGAATACTAAACAATATTTTAAATTAAATAAAAGAAATACAACAATAATGACCATCTTTCAGATACCACATGAACTCTTAATTCAAGGTAGTTCATAGTTTCAACATTGGATTGTGCCACCTTCCTCTTGATGCCATGTCTTTTTTATTTTTGAAAAACAGGATCTCATTATGTTACCTAGGCTGGCCTTAAACTCCTGGGCTGAAGTGATCCTTTGTTCTCTAGTCCCCAGAGTAGCTGGGACTACAGCCATGTGCCACTGCACCTAGCACAATGATGCTGTATCTTTATAAAGCTGGGGTTTTTAGGGTTGTTTTGATAAAAATCAAAAACCTTGTGAAAATCAATGTGAAACAGGAAATGAAGGTGTCAGTGTCCGCTTTTACCCCAAATTGGGAGAAGTCCCCAAAAAGTGTATACTATATCTGACATTACCTGACTCTACTGATTGATCTATTTTAACATTTAAAAAGAGACATGTGCTTCTTAATATGATGCAGTGAAAAACATGCAATACTACCTGTGAGGCCTTCTAGCAAAAACACTTGAACATGAATCTGATCACTCATCCAGATCTAATTACTAGTTTACAGAGTACACTAGAGCCTAGTGTACTCTGCTAAATAGCAAGGAGGGAAGAAAGGAGAACAGATAGATTACAGGCAACTCAAGAACTGAGGGTTTGGCTGGGGATTTAGCTCAGTGGTTCCAGCACCTGCCTTGCAAGCGCAAGGTCCCGAGTTCAATCCCCGGTACCAAAAAAAAAACCAGGGTGGAGCACAGTGGTAGAGCACATGTTTGGTGTGCATGAAGCTCTGGGTTTAATCACCAGCACTATAAACAAATAAAAACAAAAGAGACATAGCAACCATAGGTAATGGTGGACTTTGGATCATGATTCAACCAACCAACTTTAAAAAGAAATATTTGAATTGATGGGGACATTTAAACACTGGATATTATATTGATACTTTAACGCAAGCATTCCAAGGTATACATAGGTGTAGACAAAATTTGATTAGCTATATGTAAATAATTAGTGAAGATGGGAGATGAATATATGGGGATTCATATATTCTCCCCTTTATTATTGTTCACAATTTTCATTAAAAATGCTTTAAAAAGCATTAAAATGTGTTATATACATGTACTAACTTCCTGTGATGAATATAAATATTATGTATTGTAAATCTGTACTACTTAAAAAATGCTTCAGTGATAAAAGTTGATTAGCTTTTGGATGTCCTCCTTTTTTTTTTTTGGTACTGGGGATCGAATCTGGTAACTTGCAAGGCAGGCAGCAGAACCACTGAGCTAAATCCCCAGTCCCATGGATGTCCTCTTTTAATAGCTGAAAAACAAGGTAGATTCTTCTTTTTTTTTCTTTCTTTCTTTTTTTTTTTGTGTGTGTGTTGCTTAGGGATTGAACCCAGGGACACTACCAGTGAGCTATATTCCCTCCCACCTTTTTAATTTTTTTGTTTTGAAACAAAGTCTTACTAAGTTATCCAGGCTGGCTTTGAACTTAAGATCCTCCTGCCTCAGCCTCCAGAGTAGCTGAGATTACAGGTGTGCACCACTGCACCCAGCTTAGATGCTCTTTTTTTTGTATCACCATTGCTATCTGTTCACACCTCTATTCTAATGCATATCTTATTGTAATGTATTTATTGTCTTTACTCTCTTGCACGACTTTGGATTTTGAACAATATTTATAGTTCCTGATTTCACTTCAGTTACTGTCATATAGATATTTGCTTTCATAGATTTGTTAGTACATATTTTGTAAAATCTATACATCATTTTAATTTGTTTTATAGGTTGCATAGCAGTAGGAAAACCCCTGAATAGCCGAAATTTTACCAAGCTCTTGCATTCTTGCCCATACCAATGTGATCGTCACAAAGTCATTGTGGAAGCTGAAGACAGATATAAAAATGAACTAAGGAAATCACTTATCTGTAGCAAAAGTAATTAATTCAGCAACTTTAAAACTATAATTATGTCTATACCTTGTGAACTATCAGTATTAAGTATATTAAAAACCAGTGGTTAAAATGATGTGAAAAGAAAACCTGTCTCTAAGCAACCAGTTTTAAAATATACCCAGGAAGTAGATTCAGTCTCTGGTGCTTTAAAATTCTTTCCATTTTACCTAAGGTTTCCTATTAGAATGAGGGGAGGAGGGTTATCGTGCTAATTGATATACCAATACTCAGATTGCTAAATGTTTTCCATGTTTTTCAGAAATCCTGCTGACCCCACGTAGAAGACAACTCAGTATTAAATATACTATACCTGGAGGAATAAGTGAATATATTTAATTTTTAAATAAACTTAAATTTCATATATCCCTAAGAAAGAAGAGAACAGCTGAGTGTTTGCTCCTAGTCTCATTTTAATGGATCTTAAAAGATAACCCATTGTTCTGATGAGGGTTATCCTTCCTAAGAATAAAAGGCACCTACTTCCTTTCTTCATCGTGTTTGCTCACCCAGTGCCTGCCAGTTAGAAAAGAAGCAGGAGTAAACTAACATTTATTAAGCACCTGCTATGTACTAGGTGTTTTATAGATTTTATTTCCTTTAAATCTTATAATAGTAAGTTGGTAAGTATCAGAACTTAGTTTCAAGTGTGAGTCTTTCTCCAGAAGCCCCTGTTCTAGTGTTTGGGTCACATTTCTATTTAAAGAACAAAATTATGTACAAGTGCTTCAGAGAGACTTTGCAGAAGGCTTTTGTTCATAACTGTAGCACTTCACACGGTCAAACTTGATGGGACAAATAGTGTAAACCTTATAACATACCCTGCTTAAAATTCAGAATGCTTCTTAAAAATTAATTTATGGAAATTTTAGTTTCACTGTAGGGTTAACATTTCAGGTTTATTACCATTCTAAATTTATCAGAGATATATAGAACACTATTATTTTCTTCTATTCATATTGAGTTAATACCTGCAGGTTAAGATTAAGCTGTTGAGTACATTATGTGTCGAAGTAACCCAGAGATTAGTAACATCAGTAGAAGCACTGTGTTATTTCTTACAGAGACATGATGGACTTGGTACATCCAGGAAACATTTTGCCTTATGTAACACATACTTGGCTATTTTCACTGCCAAAAGCTTGAAAGAAATTTCCAATTTACTTTATATATGTGGGTTAAAATTTCTGCATGTAAATTAAATACAGTACCATTATAGAAGAGTTCAGTTTTTGAAGTACTATTTCCTGTAGAAACTACTAGAAATTTTCTTCCATGGAGACATGCTGCACTTTGAAATCTTGTTCTTGAGAAAGACTTGAAATCAAATTAGAGATTTTTTTTCAACATGTCCTCAAAGCAAATATATAACTACTAAAAATATTCTATATCCATTTACAGAGCAAAATCATCTTCAGAGCCCCATGAAGTGGGCATAATTATGGTTAAAAGACCATAATTATGCTTATACATTGATTATGAGTGATTCTAATATTAATAATCAGCCTATAAATACTATATATCTCATCTGTAGGTTAGACTTACTTTAGCTAAAACCAAACAGTTAATAATTTGGCCTGCTCTTTTAGAATGCACAAAGGCATCCTCATAATACAATCAATGTATTATGCCCATTTCATGAGCTCTGAAGATGATTTTACTATGTAAATGGGTATAGAATATTTTTAGTTGTTATGTGTTTGCTTTGCTTGGTCTTATATGTACATCATCACAAAAAGGGCTCAAATATTTGGTATTTTGCCATTTTTCTCTTCATAAATTTCCACTTTAGGATATTTTACCACCATTTATTGTAGCTTAGCCAGGCATGGTGGCATGTGCCTGTAATCCCAGCACTTGAGAGACTGAGGCAGGAGGATTGCCGTGAGTTTGAGGCCATCCTGGGCCATATAGTGAGTTCAAGGCCAGCTTGGACTACATAGCGAGACCCTGTCTCAAAACAAAACAAAACAGAAAAAAAGTAAACCATTTATTGTAACTTACACTCAAAGTGAGTTCCAGACCACTGCAATGTCTAGGCATTTAGATTTCCTTAGGACTCTGTCAGGGTGGATTGGTATCTTGAGAGGATTTGAAAAGACTTTCTGGGATTGAACCCTCCTGCCCATTTTTACCTGCTCTTCCTAATACACATTCAATATTAATAGCACTAAAGGAGCTAAATGGGGAGGCTTGGAGTGCACAGCCATTTCCTCCTTCCAGGCTGCCCAGTACTCTAGTGTAGAAGCCTGTAAGGATTTGGGCACAGATATGAAGTACAGGAGCCAGGAAGATGGCAACCGCGTAGGAAAAAGATGGCTTTACATGAACAACTCCAGGCCCTCAATATCCCAAAAGTTTTGACCTATCTAGTCCTGATTATACTGAGTTCAAATCATTTAGCAAGTGAGGCTAAAAGCTATTTCTTGGATAACCACAGTTTTCTAGTAGCCCCAAAAGTATCAAGTAATTTCACTGATAAGTTTTGAGAGAATTTAAAATACAGTGGTACCTTGGTTCACGAACTGAATTTGTTCCACAATTCTGGGGAAGATGGCTGCAGTTGTGTTACGTCACCCGATGCAGAGTTGAGAGTTCGCAAACAAGCAGAATTTTGCCAATTATGTTCACAAACAGAACCGTTCATGAACTGAGGTATGTATTACTGTAACTTTTTTTCCGCAACAAATATTTAGTGATCACCTCCTATGTCTGGGGTGCTATTCTAGGTACTGAGAATACAATGATGAACAAACTAGACACAAGTTCCTGCCTTCATGGAGCTTGTATTTGAGTAATACTGTTAATAAGATATTATCTACATTGATTTCTCAGCTTTCTGTTGGTTGGATTTTCTTTTCTATTTTAAAAGGTCTAAACTGTGGCTCTTATATTAGAAAGGTGAACAAATGGCTAATAGTTCTGGCTTTCAAAGGCAAGATTTTCAGAGAGTGACCAAGCACAACTATATCCAGTCCTAGAGTAAATGGAAGCCTCAAGTGAAAATACAAACTACGCCTCATTCCACCATCTATCTACAGTGATTTTATGAGTCAACAATAAATGAAAAAAAACTAAAACTACAGTATTTCCTAGTAATTATCATCAGAAATCTTTGCTTACCAACTGTGTATTCTTTTTAAGAAAGTATTGCTCAAAAACGAGGGAGTCAAGCTGGATAAGATGGCACATGCCTGTAATACCAGCACCCTAGAAAGCTGAACCAGAAGAATCATGAGTTCAAGCCTGCTTGGGTAATTTAGCAACTTAGTGAGACCCTGTCTCAAAATTTAAGAAATTAAAAAAGGGCTGGTGAGGGGCTGGGGATTTAGCTCAGTGGTTTCGCCGCCTGCTACGCAAGCGCAAAGACCCGAGTTCGATCCCCAGTACCAAAAAAAAAAAAAAAAAAAATGTCTGGTCAGTGTGAAGGCCGGTGCTTCTGTTCCAAGTAGCTAACACACACACAAAAAAACTTTCTTCACCATTATGTTCCCTATTAATTTTGAGTTTTCAGCTGAGCGCCCACATAGGCAGTGATTGTGTTTTTTAAAGTAACTTTCAAAAGATCCTTATTCTTAAAAATATTAAACCTAATATGTAAAGTAACAAGTGTTGGTATTCTATTGTATAAAGTTATGGAGCCCTTTGGAAGATTGTATCCATAAGATAGGTAATTCCTCTCATTACCAATGAAATGTTTATGAACTTTGTTTCTTGGTGGAAAGATATTAAGAGTATTCTTAAAATAGGTTAAGTTACAATTATTGAAGTCACTGTCGTAGCAACTAAATTAACAGTAGGTGTTCTGTTTTGTTTTGTTTTTTTTACATTGAAGTGGCTTTTCATATGATCAGTATCCCAGGCAAGAAATTTTCTTACTTTGTATTTTATAGTTAGCACTTACTTGGCTCTCACACTCCTTTTTTCAGCAAGTACTAATGTATTTTACAATTCTTAATTACAGAAAAAAGAAGAACTCGTAAAAACTTTACTGAAGAAGAAGTAAATTACCTTTTGCATGGAGTTAAAAAAATGGGAAACCATTGGAATTCAATTTTGTGGTCTTTCCCCTTTCAGCAAGGACGGACGGCTGTGGATCTTGCACACAAATATCACAAACTGGTCACACGCCCCAAGTGTGCAGTTCCTTGATTGAAAAAGGCTATCAGTTTTTAGTTTGAACTCTTAGAAAGACAGTGCCTTGAGTTGAGTGTGGTGGCCTGTAATCCTCGCACTCTGGGATGCTAAGGCAAGAGGACTGCAAGTTTGACCCCAGCCTGGGGAATTTAGTGACTAAGAAAGACCTGTTTCAGAATATTTTTTTTTAATTTTTTTAAAAGTCTGGGGATGTAGCTCAGTGAACCTTGGGTTCAAGCTTCAGTATCACATGCACACACAAAAATGCCTTGAAAGATATAAAATGTTAAGTACGTATGTATTCTAAACCCTCATGGGACAGTGAATTTAGAAACAGGAATAGTTTCAATTAAACAATTTTTTTTTGTCTGGTTCCAGGGATTGAACTCTGGACCTTGCGCTTTCGAGGCAGGCGGTGGAACTACTGAGTTAAATCCCTGGACCCGAAATTAATTTCTGTGACACTTGGAACTCTTCAAATTATTACAATAACATGAAGTAATACACCTTGTGTAGATTAGTAAGATAAAATTTCTCTGTAAGGCCAAACATTTGTTTAGGAATATGCTTTTATTCTTCCTTAAACTCTAAGAACACATCTCAGAAGGAAAAAAACTTGTATGTCTAAACTTTATTTGGCATTATATTGCAATGAATACTATGTGAGACATTTGGATTTTAGTATTTTTGCCTAGTGACAAAGTCCCTCCCCAGAACTCAGAATTAGTTCCAAGCTGTTCAACTGAGATATCCACCCAGTAAATCAATGTTTGACATTTTGTTAGTTAAAATGTGTTCTAAAGGCTAGATAAGTTGCTTTGAATGTGCCCATATTATATGATCAGTTTCCCTTCTTTTTGGTGTAAGCTTTAGTTTTTAAATGTGTATTACATCTTTTATCTTTCATGCTGATGACCTCTGGCTACTTCCTATTGGATCAGGACGGTGTCATTTTCCCTTATGAGCATAGTCACAGACCACTGCACATATCTGTAAAATGTGTCCAAAGAAAAATGTGATCCTTTAGAAATGTGGCCTGCATATGGGGTCAGCTTCTTTGCCAGTCTATAGACCAATGAGAGTCTCTAGACCTAAGACACTTTGCATTCTACATGACCATCTCACAGATTATAGCTAATACACTTACAAGTCTTACCTTTAATTTTTATTTTCAAATAATTCCTATCCTTATTTTATGGTTTTTGTTTGTTTTGCTAAACCCTACCACAGGGCTTTGGTAGTCCTTGTTAAATTTCATCTTGTTAGAGTTAGTCTATGCTCAGTTTGCCATACAGCCTTTCTGCTTCAGGTCATCCGTAGCATTTATGAGTGAGCTGCCACACTCTCACCCAATCACTGATAGCACCCTGAGCTGGCCAGAGTCAGGCCCCTTAGCAGCTTCTTCTGGTAGTCCCTGCCACTTACCAGCCTCCTGGCCTGGTTTCTTAACAAGATTCAATCCAGCCTGCATTTCACCTTTTTGTCTATGTTGTGAGTTGCCAAATGCCCTGTTGAAGTCTGCATTTGCTGTCTGCAGCAGCCTCCTACCTGGTATTCCTTCAAGCAAAGAAAGATACTGTGTAAACCTGTTGCTATCTTTTCCTTTCCAACTGGTCTTTTTTAATTTTTTCCACCTAGTGCTTTTTAAGCTCATCGACTTACACTTTTCAGCTCCATCTTCTATCCTATGAAAGTTCACTAATTGCCCTTTTAGGATTTTCAACACTGCTTGCTCCCCCCAGACTTCTAACATACTGAGTGTCTTAGTTACTTTCTCATTGTGTGGGACAAAATACCTGATGTATACAAGTTGAAGGAGGAAAGGTTTATTTTAGCTCACAGTTTGTAGAGGCTAGCTCCAAGGCAGGGGGGCATGGCAGTGGGGCATCATGGAGGAGAAACAGTCCTTGGCAAGGTAGACAGGAAGCAGCAGAGAGCCTGCCTTTTTATAGTATTTCATCAAGGCTATAAGCTTGGTGCCACCCACACCCAGGGTGGGGCTTTCCATCTACATCCAGAACTATGCTAAACGAATCCAGTTTTGCCCATAAGCCATATTCACACACCCTAGATCCAGTCACCTTTGAAAAGCCCCACCTATGAGTGCATGGGGCTTTGAGGAGACACCTAGATACAAACTATAATAGTGGGTTTGCACTTACTGTCTTTCATAAAACGTATCCAAGTTGGCAAATGACATACCCATTTGTTGGATCCTGTAAATATGCTGCCAAATTTTTGGCACAGCTAGAGCTAGCCTATTCACCTGAAACCCATTTAAGTGATTGCTTTTCTGCCATATCTCATTTCCTTGTGATATTTAACAATGCCTTGTAAAGTTAGCCTGCTTCTATAGAGAATAGCCTTCAGTGGCCACACTTAAAGTTACCCTTGATGAGTGCGATGTGGTTTTTTTCTTTTTCTTATTTTTTTTGGTATTGGGGATCAAACTCAGGACCTTGTACTTGCAAGGTGAGGTACCACTGAGCTAAATCTCCGGCCCTTTTCTTTCCTTTTCTTTCATTACCTTTTCTCTTCCTCTCTTCTCCCCTGCTCATTTGCCTTTCACATTCCCTCCTCTTTTCTTTTGTTCCCCCTGAAAAAAAGGAAATTGAATCCTTTTTTTTTTTTTTTTCTTTGAGACAGGGTCTTGCTATGTAGTTCAGGCTGGACTTGAACTCTTGGTGATCCTCCTGTCTCAGCCTCCTGAATGCAGAGATTACAAGCATGCGCCACCTCATTCGACCTGTATATCATTTTTATAAACCCATTAATAAAGCAAACTAAGTGTATTTCTCAATGTAGTAAAATTCACTACTTCACAATCATAATAGGGTCTTACAGAGGTGAAAACAGAATATTATGAGGATTTGGGGACCCATCCTTGAGTGCAGGGTTTGATAAGGATAGGCCAAATTCATAATAGAAGTTTAATGACTACCAAGCCCCGGGATGCTATCCTACATCACTGGGTCAACGGGCAGATTTGTTAAAACTTTCCGGTTCCTCGTCGGTTTAAGAAGTAAGATTCGGCACGAATGTGTATGAGTCTGGCCCTCGGTGAGCGCTAGATACATGGAGCTGTCGTCCTTGAGTCTTACTCCAAAGCGTGGCTTTGCCGCGTCAGTCCACCGCCTGCCTAGCCCAATACAAAAAGCGGGAGAGGTTCAACTGTCCAGGTTCGGGTAGGAGAGGCGCTGGGTTGCGCTGAGCCCCTCTCCAGCTAGAGGTCGCCTGCGCGTCCAGGCTCCAGTCAGCCCCCGCCCCGCCCCGGCCCGCCCCGCCCCGCCCCGCATCCCCACGCAGGGCTGCCCAGGCGGCTGCCTGACGGTGCAGCCTACGGCCACTGCGGCGGCCTCGAGACCCGTAGGAACCCGCGGACGTCGCTGGCCCGGTGGGGCGCGTCAGGCTGCGCGACCCTTGTGGCGGTGGCGTCGCGGCACGGCGCGGGGGTGGCCCGGCGGGGTCCTCGCGGGTCCTCAGCGGGCCCGGGGGAGGGCCCTCTTTGTGGCTGCAGTTGGCAAGATGGCGCCAGTGGGGGTAGAGAAAAAGGTGCTGCTGGGTCCCAACGGGCCGGCGGTGATCGCCGCCGGAGATTTAACCAGCGAAGAGGAGGAGGGCCAGAGTCTGTGGTGAGGCCGCGGGCCGAGCGGGAGAGGGCGTGGCCGGGCGGAGACCGGGGACAGACACTGACCGGCCGTCGCGGGCCGGGCCGGGGGCTGACCGCCTTGCCATTGTTGCCGCAGGTCTTCGATCCTGAGCGAAGTGTCCACCCGTGCCAGGTCCAAGCTGCCGTCCGGCAAGAACATCCTGGTCTTCGGTGAGCGGCGGGCGCTCCCCAGGGTCGCTGGGGTGGGCGAGGCGATACCCCTCCCTCAGTTCTCAGCCTTCCGTTTCTCCCTTGCCGCTGCTTATCCCCTGCTGGCCCGGGTTGGGGCGCACGCTAGGACTTGGCAGGACGGCTAGAGAGTCGCCAAGCCCATCCCACCTGACGGTGGGATGCGTCCCCTTTTGGGGAATCCAGTGGTGCTGTCTGGGGTTATCGGCACATTCCTTCAGTCACTGGGCCGCGACGTCGACCTCGACTCCCTGCGACTGTGACCTTCTGTGCACCAAGTTGACGATGTGGAGAAAGGAGACAGTAGATGAGAAGGCTGGATGGAGAAGACAGCTAGAGGAGATGACCTGGGCTCGGAGTTTGACCACAAGAGCTTTTCTTGGTCTTCTAGAACAGTGCACAAGTGTCTTAGGAACTCTTCAAAGGACCAGGGCCTGGGTGTCAGCACCGAGGATTTTTCCTGAGTCAGTTCCCTTAGCCCCCGTGGCTTCAGTTTCCTCATGCAAGTGAGGAGCTCTGGGTGTTATCACACAACAGACCTATTTGTGGAACGGGACCTGTGGGCTGGGCACTGGGACAGTACAGCCCTTAGACCCTTAACAAGAATCTCAATCTAGCAGATACATATATGCTGGTGATTGCACCATGTTGGGCATGGGCAGATTATTGTGAGAGCATCCCATTGCTTGGTGCTATTGAAAGGGAAATTTGGGTGTTGGGTGTTTTGAAGAATAAGTGTCAGTATGCAGGGGCACAGAGTTGATCACTCAGTGTGCTGTTTGGAAACTTGTAGAAGCCTCTTGCGGTAGATTCACACTGAGGCACAGTGGGGGGAGATTGTGAAAGACTGAAGAGTTAATGGTCTTTCCTGAAGCCTCTAGATTTTCATAGGCCTTACCTCCATCACCAGGCCTTATGGGAATCACTACCGTGGTGATTTTCCTATTGTTTCTGAAGGGACCGGATGGTCTTCAGACGAGTGGTAGGTTATAGTGTACCTTAGAAATCTTCAAAAAATGAAGGATCAAGATCACTAGGTCTGTGTTTTAGAAGGATAACTTTGGCTGCAGAGTGCCAGGTGGCTCAGAATGAACTGGTATTGAAGTCAGGCTGACAAGCACTTACCAGGGTCCAGATGGACTGCGAAGAGCCTGAAAATGATATGGCCTTGTGGATGGACAGGGGATCTTTGATTGAGGTATACCTTTTACCTTTCATGACTGTAATTCTATATTATTAAATCTCAAGAATGTTTAGTGATGTTTGTTGATGGTATGGTTCTACTTGATGTTTAGAGGGAGGTTTTTTATGTGTGGGGGTTGTTATTCGTTGGTCAGAGGGCGATAAACACCTAGTAATTACTGAGATTGTGCTTTAGAGTTTTGCTTAGGTCTGTAATTATTTTCTTTAGTTTTTCAGCCTTCAGAATGTTTATGAAGGAGATGTACTGAAATCAAACAAATAATAATTTTTGTTCTTCATGACTGTGAGGAAGGATGAGGTTTTTCTAATTGAAAATTCCTAAACTTTGAGGTTAATTTTGTTTTGAAAATTTCATGAATTTCTTGTGGTAAAAGTTTATTTTGTGAGAAACTAGCCCCACTTTTTCCAAATGCATGTGTTAAAAATTATAGGTAGGGCCCATTGGCTTGCCTTTCTCCTCTCTTTGTGAAATAAGGAAAACAGCAATAAGATATCATTTTAGATGTTGGAATTTGCAGTATTTACCCTGTCCCCTCTCCAGTGACTCTTAGAGCCAAGTCTGCTTTGTTTGTGAAAGCAGATGAAACCTCAGTAGTGGCTTTGCATGATTCTTAGTTGTTCCTTGTCATATGAATGTCATGATTTAGTTGGTCCAAAGGTTGTGGGTTATTGTTAAACTAAATGTCATGATTTGCCGTGTTTGTCCAGAGTAAATAGTACCCCTTTGTCTTCTTGAAAATATCATTTGTAGGTGAAGATGGTTCTGGTAAAACAACTCTCATGACTAAACTACAAGGAGCAGAGCATGGCAAAAAAGGAAGAGGCCTAGAGTATCTGTACCTCAGCGTCCATGATGAGGACCGAGATGGTAAGTGAAACATTGATCTGTGGTAAAGGGTATATGCAGGACTGTGGCTCCTACAACATATCTAGGCATTTTTGGCCTTCTCTTTGGTTCATAGAGAATTACTAGAGAATAGAGGAAATGTGGGTTGCTTACAAGATTTTGTCCACTTGCTATTACGGAGCATGTTAGCAAAACGAGGAATGGGATTGTAAGGTGCTTGTGTCTATATTAAAGGAAATCCTTAAGGTGAAGTTGGACACCCACGTAAAGGTAGCAAGAAAGAATTTTTTTAAGCTTTGGAGTTTTCTTTGAGAGAAATACTTAGGAGACTGATCTCGCACCGCTGTTACTCTGCCTGGTTCTGCTAGAGAATCTAAATTTCGTATACATTCATGGATAATTTCTGAGTCTTTTTGTGACTATTTAGAAATGTTAAATGGAAATAGAAGGAGTAGAGGTTCAGAGGTGATAATGTTCTCTTTTAATTCCTTAAAATGTGGACAGTAGCTGGGCATGATAGTTCATGCCTGTAATCCCAGCACTCTGAAAGGCTGAGGTGGAGGGATCATAAGTTTGAGCCCAGCCTAGGCAGCTTAGTGAGACCCTGTCTCAAGATAAAAAATAAAAAAGATCTGGGCATGTAGCTCAGTGAAAGCTTCTGGGTTCAATCCCCAGTATTGCAAGCAAGCAAACACACAAAAATGTGGATGGTAAGAATTTCTATCTGTATAGTAGTTAGGATGATTGAAAGCATATTGGGGCTAGGGATTTAGCTCAGTGGCACTGTGCCTGCCTCTCAAGCACAAGGTCCTGAGTTCCATCCCCGGTACCAAAAAAAAGTACATGGTAAACATTCTTAAAAGGATTGGTTATTAATTAAATTTTTTCTTATAATTATGAGATGTATGAAGTAGTGATTTTTGCTTACAACTACTCCATAATACTTCCTTTGTAATGTTTTAGGATTAAAGTTAGTTTTTTTTTAATGGCTGTAAAATAAATTATTGGCATCTAGGTTTTTTGTTTGTTTGTTTTGCACAAAAGTTATCTTTGTAGCCTAAAGGTGAAATGTATTGATTAAATTACATTCATTATATTTGCCTTTACTTTGAGGATCAAACTCGGGTCCTTGCGCTTGTGAGGCAGGCGATGGAACCACTGAGCTAACTCCCTGACCCGCCTTTACTTATTTAAACAGTAAGGATCATGATGTAAGTGGAGCCACTCCTCCCACTTCTGGTCTCCCATTTGCTTGTTCTAAATGGAGGAAGCTGAACCTTTCTAGCACTGTAATTCTATCTCCGAGAACTGTTTAGTAGAAAGCATGAGTAAGAGTCTCTTGTTGAAGCTTGGATATCTACATTGTGTAAATGCTAATGTAGTGGTCATTTTAGAACCCCAGGGATTTTTTTGTCTCCTCCCTTCCCCTGACTTCTCTTGTCTTGCTGAACATTCCCTGAAAGACTTGAAAGGAAGATAGGAGGTGGACCTGTTGCCAAGGGTACTGTCTTACATTAGAAGGACAGGCATTAGGTGTCCCTTTAGGCCCATTGGAGTCCATGGTTGTAGGGCTGGGACTTAGCGGCCGCTGAGTCAGACCTAGAGGACCTTGCATGTCTGCCATCTTTTACTTCCTATCTTTGTAGGGCACCCTGGTTATTGTGGAAAGAACTTGGGCTTTGGAGCCAGGTGGATCTGATTCAAGATGCTTCTCCCGTAGTCAGCAGTTGTGTAGTCTCAGGTAAATGATTTAACCACCCTACACTTGAGATTTCTCATGTGTAGAATGGGATGATCGTGCCTGTTTTACAGATTGATAGAATAAGAGAGTATATATACAGTGCAATGGAATGCTGGAGACCTGGTGATAGCTCTAGTACCATCTTGTCTTGTTTTTTGTTTTTGTTTTGAGACAGGTTCTCACTGTGTAGCCCCAGCTTGCCTCAAACTAGTGATCCTCCTGCCTCAGCCTCCTGAGTATTAAGTTGAGATTACGGGCATGTGCCATTATGTCCAGTTGTCTGGTTTCTTTTTAAAGGACAAAATATAGTGTGTATGCTCTGAATCTGTAGCCTCTTTTGTTTCAAGACCAAAGAAACATATTTCAGTTCTGCCACCTGCCCTGCAAGCGCAAGATCCCAAGTTCGATCCCTGGTACCAAAAAAAAAAAAGCAACACATTTCAGGCCAGTGTGTCATGTTAGCCATATTTTACTTGCCTTTGAGTTGAAGTTCATAGTAACTTCTGTTTTACATTCCTTTAAGATTATCTTAAAAACTTTGGTTTTTGTATTTATAGGATATTTTTTAGATTTCCTACTTTTGAGTATTTGATGGAAAAGTTATCCTTACCTGTGGTTAATTATATATCTTTAAGTCCTGTTATTTTTTATTGTGTGGCATGATTGGGTTATAAATACACATTTCACAGGGAATCACCTAGGTAGGAAAAATAGTCTCTGACTTGTATCTGCTCTGTGGTGTGATATGACAAAGGATCTCTGCCTTCGGGGTTGGGGGATCTAATGCTGTATGGGCTATGTGTGGTCTCCAAGCACGTGGACAAGTTATATATGGTGGGCAGTGATGAGAAGCTGAAAAAACCCATAGGTTTGAGGTATAGAGCATTGTTTCTGTTTTGTCTTTTGATCCTGGGAATTGAACCTAGGGCCTTAGGCATGCTAGACAAGCATGCTAGCACTGAGCTACACCCTTAGCCTCCAGAACAGTATTTTTTAAGACATTCACAGAACCCCAAATCACTAAAGTACTTAAGAGTTTAAAATATAAGCCAGGCATGGTGGCACATGCCTGTAATCCCAGCACTTGGGAGGCTGAGACAGGAGAATCACTTAAAGTTCAAGGCTAGCCTGGGCTACTCCATACTGATTTCAGGATGAGCCTGAACTACATGGAAGGACTCTGTCTCAAGGGAAAAAAAAAAAGAGAGAATTTGAAAATTAGCTAGATTTAGATAGCATATACTATTGAAATAAAGTCATGAATATACATTTTTATAGCATATTAATGAATTGATTATTCCAAAAAGGCAGCTAATGGGTTTTAAAAGTATACGGTGGGGGCTGGGGATTTAGCTCAGTGTCGCTGTGCCTACCTCACAAACACAAGGTCCTGAGTTCGATCCCTGGTACCAAAAAAAAAAAAAGTATATGTTGGATTTTATTGAAAAAAAAGTTAATAAAATAATTTAGGAACTCTTTCTCAAGGTTCTTTTTTTAAAAAATAGCTCTTAAAAATTCCAAAAACTGTGTCATCAATTGGGAGAATTGACTTACACAGTTTGATCGTCCAGTTACGATTTTGGAACCATGTTCTTCATTAAATGTCAGCACTTAACACATTTTTATATATATCTATTCTAACATGTTATTGTAGAAAACAATGTATAAAATAGACTAGTATCGTGAACCACAATGTACATACCACCTGCCTTCAGCAGTTAACCAGTTTTTGATTAATTTTGTTTCAACTATAATCTCATCTCTCCACACTCCATGTGGGATTATTTTGAATGAAATTTTAGATATTATATCATCTATGAGTACTTCCATAAAGTATGTCTAAAGGCTAATGATTCTTTAAAAAATATAACCACGTTATTATATAACAAGAACTATAATTCCTTAATGTCATCAGGCATCTAGCAGTACTTTATAAATGATGATTTTATCTTGGCATTTAAACACAAAGGTCCTGTCTCTCTAGCACTCTCTGGTATGTTCCCCACTTACTGTGCCTGGCACAAGAAGGGCTTGTTTAACCATGGGCTCTTAGGGATTGCTAACCACCTCACAGGTTGCTGATATCTTAGGACGATGGATTGTTTAGACTATGGCACTGTTGGCCATGATCAGCATCTCTTTTGGGAGGGAGGGGGACCTAGGATTGAACTCAGGACCTTGCGCTTGCAAGGCAGGTGCAGCACCACGGAGCTAAATCCCCAGCCCAACATCAGCATCTTTTCAGTTCTTATTGACAACCAATTGCCTTTACCCTACTCCTTAGACATTGCTGAAATTTTTTTTCACTTGTAGATACTTGTTATTTATCAAGGCTGTCCTTGAATTTGCTGTGTAGCCCAGGCTGGCCTCAAACTCATGGTGATCCTCTTGCCTCAGCCTCTTGAGTGCTGGGATTACAGGTGTGTGCCACCATGCCTGGTTTGTACATACTACTTACAGTAGTTTAAACATTTTTAAACTAAATAGTTCGTGAGGCATTAGTACCTAGAATTGCTGTTCCTTTTCAGTTAGGATTTCTGTTTGCATTCTGTGTGGAATTCATCTTCGTAATGTTACTTTTCTGATAGCTCTGCTGATAATCATTGTCCAGTCGTAATTTAACTTCATTTCTTAGATCATACACGCTGCAATGTGTGGATTCTGGATGGAGACCTCTACCACAAAGGCCTGCTGAAGTTTGCAGTTTCTGCTGAATCCTTGCCAGAGACCCTGGTCATTTTTGTTGCAGACATGTCTAGGCCTTGGACTGTAATGGAATCTCTACAAAAGTGGGCTAGTGTTTTACGTGAGCACATTGATAAAATGAAAATTCCACCAGAAGAAATGAGAGAGCTGGAATGGAAGTGTAAGTAAAAGTAGAATTTTTTAAATTGGAAAATTCACTAGACACTGGATAGTCAGAACCATGTTCCTTTTTAATCAAGAGGCTTCACTTGGATAGAATTGTGTTTTGTTTTGCACCATTAATTTCAGAGTTGCCCTTACAAATGTAGTTATCAAGAATACTTTGAAAAAGTATTCAGAGCAGTCTATCTCACATGTTACAGTTGAAGATGTTGGATCAATAGTCCTGATTGTCTTTGTTGGTTCTGTTTTAGTAGAAGAATTCTTTCCTAGCTTCCCAAAATGTGATCAATTCTGTGGTTCTCCAGGCTTTTCTGCCACTCTGTCTGCTGAGTTAGCATCAGCATATAGGGGTCTGCTGGGGTCTCTGCAAATTGGATCCCAGCCTTGGAACTCCATGAAAATTCTGTCTGTCCTCTTGTTGGCAGGTTTAGTGGGAGTCCTTAAAAAGGCATTGTCTGGAATCCAACAAATACAGTTTGGTGTTTTTTTTTTTTATAGGAATAGGTTATTTGGGGGCATCATTAAAGTGAAAAGCTATTTTAAGACTAAGGACATCCAAGTCCTTTTGAAAACAGAGAACTTTCATATTAAAGGAAATGTGTTTGTCCACCCTACCCCCATTGCAGTTCAGAAGCTTGTTTTTCTCTTCCCGTGCTTCTGTACAGTTACATCAGCTTCTGTCCCCTTGCCAGAGAAATGGGAGGGGTCAGGGTTGGAGCTGTGGCCACAGCAGCCGTCTTGGGCAGGACAGGCTTAGCCCAGTCTGGCTTAGTTCCACAGGATGACATCACTCCCTTTAGTGAATTGATGAGGGCTGTAAGACATGACACTAGATCTTCACACTTATTGGCCAAAGGGTTGAGAAATTTTGATGTGCTTTTCATATTAAGTTTAATGCTCTGTCCCATACTTCATCTTTCTGCTGTCCCACATTAGTTACAACAGAGAGTTGAACATCTTACTCTTTGGTTTGCTGCCAGTGTGATGTGTGGATCACCCACATGTTGCTATACTGATTGTTATGCAGCTCAGCTCATCTGTCTTCAACCACTGACCTTTTTAGATAATGGCTCTTTTTCCTCTGAAATAGAGACCCTAATGGTAGCTTCTTAGCATAGTTCTGAAGCTGAATAGCTGTTTTCTGTCCATTGTACATACAGCTTCTTATCCAGACTAGTTTAAGGCACTAGAGACTTCAGTTCTCTAATCTGTTTTCTTAGAGTGATAACATTGTAAAGATTTGTTAAAACAGAAGAAAAGAGAGAAGCCAGGGATGCTGCTTTTTCCCAGATAGAGAAAGTGTCTGCTCAGTACAAGGTACTGTTCTAGGCACTGAAATACAACAGACAAGCTCTATTCCTAGGGACCTTATGGCATAAGACACTGAATTTATTTTATGCTCTTAGTCATTGATGTCATTTAGGATTAGATTCATTTGCATATGACACAAAACCCGAGATAATGATGGCCTAAATAAGACTGAGGTTTCTCCTTCCTGAAAATGAAATCTAGAAGTAGGTAGTTCAGAACTGGGGAGCCAAGGGCTCCAGGACCCTGACTTTTTGTGCTTACTGCTTTGTCATTTGTAGGGTGTGGTTCTCTTCCTCCTAACAAGTAGAGCTCTGGCCTTCACATCCATGTTCCAGGAAGCAGGATGGAGGAAGAGGAAGGAAGAGCTGAAGGGTACATGTCTGTCATCATTAAAAGAGGCTGGGAAATGTGGTCTTTATTCTGTGTGGCCGAGTACTGTGGACATCAGAGTTCTGTTCAGTTATGGGGAGGAAAAGGAGAGAGGACACTGGAGGGCAACTAGCAGTTGCTGGAACCATGTCTGTATCTCCTGACTCCGGTTCACCTTCTGAGGGCTTCTGCTTTCACCACTCCTTGTCTGAGATGTTTGGAATGGTAGCCAAGCCTTTGTGGTGCATGTTGAAGGAGTGGCTTTGTTAGTGCTGGTTTTAGGTTACATTTTAATAAAGTAGTTGGCCATATTCATGTTCAGAGGACACCTGCTTCCCAAATTAATTGGTCTTAATAATGTACTGAATGAGTGAAGGGCTCTTATCCAACCAAGTTTCCAATCCAACCTCTCTCTGGTCTGCCAATTTTGGAAAGTTGCTCTGTGGCCAGCCAGTCTCTTTCAAGGTTAGGGTCCTCCGTGGTCCAGGGTCTGTGGCAGCTGTTTGGCTTTAAGAACCATCTGAGCTAGAGGGAAAGCACTCCTGGGAGCCACCAGAAGGTGGTGCTTGTTTGTAGGTTAGTCTTTCTTCCTTGTGTGGACCTGTGGGGTCTTCTCACGACTGTGGACCCAGTGGGTGGGTCAGTAAGACAGGAAGGAAAGATGAGATGCAGCAGCAAGGTTATTTTGTGACCTTTTTGTACCCACTCCCTTGTACCCACTCCCTTCTGGTCCTAGAGGGGAGGTCCAAGTGGGCTGGTCCCCCTTGCTGTAAAATACTGGCCATCCCATTTTTTAGAGAGAAATTATTATCATTACATTATGTGTATCCTGTAAGGAAAATACACACAATTACTGTCTGAATTACAAAATCTTCAATTTTTGTTGTATTTTCGACAGATAAGTATTATTTAAACAGTTTCAACATTTTTAAATTTTATTTTAGTTTATTAGTAAATGTATGTAGTACATAATGTTTACATTCCTCATGGGAAATTGGTACATGTACATAGCACATCTTAATTCTTTTTTTTATCCTGTTTCCTTTCCCTCCTTTTCTTCCCTCCCCCCTCTGATCTCTCGATCTCCTTCTCTTTTGAGAACTATCTATCTCCCTAGTTCCTATGCTCTATCATTTATTTTGCTCTTTATTTTTACTCTGGGTTTCTCATGTAAGAGAAACCATGTGATACCTTCAATATTTTTTAAATCAATCTTTCTTTCTTTCCTTTTTTGAGACAGGGTCTTGCTGTATAGTTCAGGCTGACTTGAACTCATTATGTAGCCCAGGCTGGCCTTGAACTCGAAGCATTGCTCCTGTCTCAGCCTCTCCAGTGCTGGGATTACAGGCATGCATCACCATGCCAGGCAATCTTTTGTTTTCTTTATCTGTATGCTATGCACATATGCTATGCCTTCCAACTCATTTTCTAAAATACTGAGTTAACTAAAAAGATGTGAATTTCCTATGCTTACCAGACAGCCACTCACAATTAAATTCATTTGTTTAGAGTGTGACTAGTCTCATCCAGGGCCTCTAGGCCATTTTCTTGGCACATGTGGAATACTACAGAGTTTGGGCAGCACTGTAGGTAATAGAGGCTCGTGGAGCAGGCTGCCTGACCCACTGTACCCCACCTCACTTCCTACTGTAGCTCAGCTCACCTTTTTCCTGGTCCAGGTTCTGCCCTGCTCACTGTCTAGGAAGCCTTAGCCAGGTACTCCCCATATCTTGAATGGTTAGATCTTATTCAGATAAGGCTTCATATTTTCCATTGATTTGAAGTTTTGTTAATGTGCTCTTTTTTTTTTTTGAGACAGGGTCTTGCTGTGTAGTTCAGGCTGGCCTTGAACTCCACCATGTAGCCCAAGCTGGCCTCAAACTCATGGTGATCCTCCTGCCTCAGCTTCCCAAGTGCTGGGATTACAGGCGTGTGCCACCATGCCTGGCTGTTAATGTGCTTTTAAACAGACTATAAAAATCCTTTATTCTTTTAAGATCCTTCAACAACCACATCAAGTTCTTCTGTTTTTGTCTAAAATGGAGTAAGAATCACTTCAGCACATTATTTATATTGATGATTATGTTATGTGCATAGTTTAAAAAGAAGTTTAGAGTGCTGGGGATTTAGCTCAGTGGCACCATGCCTGGTTTGCAAGCACAAGGTCCTGAGTTTGATCCCTGGTACCAAAAAAAAAAGGAGTTTAGAGGTGAAATATTACCACATCTGCACTTGAGAGTTTAATCAGTTCACTTTTAGTTTCCTTAATATTATTTGAAAGCCAATTGGTGCCAGATAATTTCACCTCTAATTTCACCTTGTACTCTTGATTACCTGACATCTCTAAATAAACACTCTTTGTTTTAAAATATTTAAGACCTGTTCTGTGGATGAAAAGGAGAATGTGCACCTTTCTCTAGGTCCTCTGTAGTGCTATTACTTGCATTTACTTAGTGAGCTTGTTGATGAGAGTAAGAGGTCTTAAGCTCCATAGTCTTCTTGGGTTTATTAGAAGAGAAGAGCAGCTGCCTATTGGCTTCTCTGGCTCAAAACAGCTTTAACCATCCTGTCTTTATTTTCTGGAATGCCCACATAAGGTGCAGGTCTCTGGGCTTTCTGGTCCCTTGGTTTAACTGAGACCATTGGCCACTTCGCTGGAGACCCTACTTAGCCAGAGTAGTGAATGTGTGTGCCACAAACATTCCTTAGCATTGACCCTTGTTGTGTTAGCCAGGGGCAGGCCCTAAAGATGAAACTGAGTTCCCAAGAGGGAGGATGAAGACGAAGTGTGTGGCTGATGCTGGGCAGGTACAGCCTCATTACTTAGTGGTGACATACTGCAGCTATGTGAGAAGAGGATGTTTTTGTGGAATTCGGTGTTTTGATAAACATTTCTAATGAGGACTTCAAGTTTTGTTAGTTAAAGCAACATCTAATGGTCACCTGTGTGAAGCTAACAGTTTAACTATTCTGGTATTTTCAAATGGCTTTTTTTGGGTTTTTTGTTTTGTTTTGTTTTTTGGTACTAGGGATAGAACTGGGGACCTTGCACTTGCGAGGCAGGCAGCAGAACCACTGAGCTAAATCCTCGGCCCTTGTTTTTTCCTAGTAGGAACTGGTGAAGCCTTACAATTTTTACAGACCCATTTAGGATTTGGATGCAATTGAAGATATCTAGAGGAATTTTTGTGCTGCTCTGAATTTATAAAGCTAAGACTGAATATGTCAGAATTGGTATTTTGCATCATCATCCCCAAATCCCTAATACTACAGCCCAATATGACTCTGTCACACACAACTGTTTGTTTTGTTGTTTGTTACTCCCTTTTTCCATTTTCTAAAGCCAGTGTGTATTTTTATTTGGTGTGTATATAATATTTTTTTCCTTTTCCTCTGTAGTTGTGAAAGATTTTCAAGATTATATTGAGCCTGAAGAAGGTTGTCAGGGTTCCCCACAGAGAAGAGGACCTTTGACCTCAGGCTCCGATGAAGAAAATGTTGCGCTGCCTCTGGGTGACAATGTGCTGACTCATAACCTGGGGATCCCAGTGTTGGTGGTATGCACAAAGGTGTGTCCAGGGAATTGTAAGCATGGCTAGGTTTGGCCATTGAACAATCACCATCTGAAAGAAAGTTTGAGAAGCTTTGGTGAATTTCTTTCCTGGGGAGAGTTGGGCCTATTCAGGATTCATTAAGGTATGTCAAATGTGTCAGGATAGAGCATACTGTCATTTAACATTGCTGCTAGAAACACAACATCACTCAACACAAACATGTATGCTCTGGGATAATCTCCAGAAATCACTACTGAGTTATGGGGAAACTCAACTAAAAGCAGTTTTCTTAAGGCTACATAAACTAGGTCATCTGATCTAAACCGATGGTGAAAAGGTAGAATGAGGTAGAAATAGAAATTAAGTTCAATTATAGAAAAATAAAGTGTGTCTCTTATATAAGAGAGGACGTAGCTTTCAGAAGTTCACAGACAGAAAGATAACTGTATTTTCTGTCCCCTACAGTGTGATGCAGTAAGCATACTGGAGAAGGAACACGATTACAGGGACGAGCACTTGGATTTCATCCAGTCGCATCTGCGGAGGTTCTGCCTCCAGTGTATCCTTGGGATGCTGTATCAGGCCCTGGGATGTGGGCTTCCCTCCACATGGGGCATCTTCAAGGCCACACCTAAACTCAGAGTAGTTTTCTGCCAATGTATATCTTTTTACTAATTTTATGTTTTACTGTGTTGGAATTTGAAGCTTATTAACTTATCTTTGGTCACTTTTTATTTTTAAGACTGTACATTTGATAGTCTTTCATGTTAACAAGCTTTAGTTTAGTTTTGTTTTGTTTTTTTGGTACCGGGGATCGAACTTGGTTCCTTCCGCCTGCGCAGCAGGTGGCAAAACCACTGAGCTAAATCCCCTGCCCAGGCTTTCATGTTAAGAAGAAGCTTAAGTCAGATGTGGTGGTGCCCTCCTGTAATCTCATTACTCAGGGAGGCTGAGACAGGAGGATGGCAAGTTCCAGACTAGCCTGGGCAACTTAGTGACTTAGTGAGGCTGTCTCAAAAAAAAAAGTCCCCATACCCTAAACACACACACACACACAGACACACACTCACAGGAAGAAGGAGAAGCTGACATGAGATAATTTTATTACCAAATTATTTTTATCATGTTTGGAAATCTTTTTAAACTTTGCTTTTATTCAGAAAGGGGTAATTAACATTGCAGTTGTTTTGGAGGTGCTACAGGTACTTCCCATGTGTGTGTTTTGTGCTAACTCATGTAAGAGCTGCTGTGTCAGCAGTCTTTCTGTGAAAAGCTAATAGCTCCCTCCCTCTAGAGTTGGGGTGATGGATGGATTCCTACTACCTCCTTTGAGCCAATCCCTGGAAAGGTACGTTTGAAGATAGACGTGCTCACCCCAGGACCACTAACTTTGCTTCTTGGGAAGCAGCCTGAGGGATCAAGATAACAGTTTCTGTGTTAAGTCAACCACATAGCCTGCTAACGCAGGCTCATCTTGGTTCATCTGCTACCGTTCCCTTTTTTGTTTTTAAAATTGTAATACTTTCTGATTATCAAAAACTGGTCAAATTGTCTGCAGTACTTTAAGGGTTATGCTTCTGTGGGATTAATTTTGTCTCTTTGTGCAGTGATTTGGTTTTCCTAAGCAGATTGATTAGATGGAGCTGCCTTGATTTACACATCAGTGAAAGAAGAGAAAAACCTCGACTTGTTGTATAAGTACATTGTTCATAAAACATATGGTTTCCACTTTGCCACACCTGCCTTAGTTGTGGAAAAGGATGCGGTTTTTATGTGAGTTTTAGAGAGGTGATGTTTTTAACACCTTTTTATAGCACATTTTCTACTTAACATTTTTACCCTTTCAAGTACAATGCCTTCTGTCTGTGTCTTATGCAGCCAGTTCTCTTGCTCCTGTGGGAAAAGTGCATGAACTGGACATGGACTTTTTCCCTCTGCGTGCTTGCGCTTGCGAGGCAGGTGGCGGAACCACTGAGCTAAATACCTGGCCCTACTGCCTTTCTTCATTGAGAGCAAGTTACCAAACAACTTGGCCATTTGTTTTGATGAAGTACTGGCTGAGGGAGAGAGCTGAAGTATAAGGGATTTCACTTTACAGATTTTTATGTTGGGGGGAAGACTTGTTTTACTTTACAGATTCTAAATATCTCCTGTTAAGAGAGACATACCGTCTAGTTCTATTGCCCATTAGCAGAGGTGATAGTAAACATCCTCCTTGGCCCTTTGTCATCTGGTGTTGGCTGTTCTGAGTGCTTATTTTATTTCCAGAATTTAAGCATGTATTTCTAGCTATAGGGATTGATTGTCCTGCCAGAGAGTTGGATACCTGTCTTCCCAAGTTTCTTTCTCTCACTAGAGAATCATGTTGCTAGATGCATAAATAAATGAAGGTATAGTCTCTGAGAGCACTTGTGTTAGCAAATTGATGCTTGTTTCGGGGTTACCTAGCTTCTTGGCTTAACAGTTATATTTGTCCATTCAGCAAGCCTTACCCAGTACCTCTTAGGTGCCCAGGTTCTCTGCTGGGGACACAGAAATGAAATGTGGTTCTTACCACAGCACTGAAAAAGATACACAGCTGGAGAGAAGAGGGGCAGCAGTGGGCTAGTGGAGGAAGTGGCAGGAAGGGCAGAGGAGGTGATGCTGAGAGATGCATGGTACGTTCCAGACAGCCACAGAAGAGGTGGGTGCAGTCTGAGATACTGAAGGTGTGAGACCCAGGGGATCCCAGGAACTGACTAGATTACCTCCAACACATAGAGAAGAATGTGGGCTTTGGGTTGCTGACAGACAGCAGAACTGCTTTTGGAGAATCGTCCCGAGCAATCAGCCACCAAAGGCACAAGCTCAGTGAGCGGTATATTCTTGGAATTACTTAGTCCCTAAATCACCTGATCCCAAGAAGCAGGGAGGCTGGTTAGATTTGGGACTGGTCTGGAATAGAAAAGCATCTTGTGAAGATGAAGGCTGCTTGGGTCATGGCAGTGTCTCAGTCCTGCCCTATCCCTTTGTACATTTGGGTCTATTGATAGTTGCTTATATGGGGACTGGTAAAGTTAGCGAGGCCATTTGGGGGACCCTGGCTGTATCCTCTTGGTTATAGACCTGTGGATCAGGAGGTTTGGGGGAGAATGAGAGTCTTGTGTGAACAATAGTTGCCATCTTTCAAAGCTTGAGTTCAAAAGTGTCAAGTAGGATATTACAGTTGCTACCTTTATGAGAGTTAGATGGGAGTAGTAGGCTGCGGCTTAGCCTACTGGAAGCCAGGTCCCATTCTGCCCTGTGATGTTAAGGTGATGTGTAGGAGCCCTTGTGGTTTGGGGCCCAGGATGGATGCAGGCCTTCTTTGCCCCTTGGCTCCAGGCCGTATCTTTCTACACAAGCAAAATCCGTGAACCATTCGACAGTTAACTGTTCAAAGAGTTCTCAGAGACAGCGCATAAGAGGGGAGCCTCCATACCAAAGCCCAAGAGAAACAGTCCCCTCCTAGGCTTTGTCCTCTGTGCTCCTCTCTGTATTCTCCTTCATTGAGCCAGGTCCCTATTGTGCTACTGTTGGCATTGTGTAGTATCTCTGAACACATATACTGGGGCAGCATGTGGTCAGTCAGCTCTCCCACTGGCTTCTTAGGCCTGGAGCTCATGAGCTCTGTACAAAACAGGTCCTGCCCTGCTGATCTGATGGGGTGTCCCTAACCATATGTGTCCAAAGCTGTAAGCTACTCAGCAGTTGCAGATCAGATCTTGCGAGGAAGGACATCACCCAGGAATCCCTTCTGATGAAATGTGCTCTGATATTGCCATAAGCGGTCTCAGGAAAAGAAAGCCAATATCTGTCTCTTTGCCTTTAGACCTGCAGGCTGGGACAATGAAAAGAAAATAGCTATTTTACATGAAAATTTCACAACTGTGAAACCAGAAGATGCATATGAAGATTTTATTGTGAAACCTCCTGTAAGAAAGGTATCCATATCAATCACTTAAAGAGTCCAGGTGTTTTTTTAAAGGGGGGGGGCTGTAAAACATATTCCATCATTTTGAAAAAAGCGGTCTTTTTGTTAGTCTTTAAATGAGGTGTTGTGTTTCGTGAATGGCTCAAGGTCAGTTCTAAGTGATGGTGTGCCCACATGGCATTTCCCTTGAAGTCTCAACAGTGCTGCCACCTCCTCTAGATTACTGTTGTTAGATCCTCTCTCCTAAGAGCTACTGAAGCTTCTGATAGGGACCTATGAAACTTTAAAATACCAGTTGGCTACGTAGACTGGCCAGTTTTGGGAGAACATCTCTGTTAGACTGGAAGGATCCCTCAGACACATCTAGAAGCCTGAGTAGAAGAGTCTTCTTGCAGCTTGAATTTTGACAGTCATGTGGGAGTGGTTTGGGCCTGTGGCCACAAATGCGTATGTCACTTTACAGCTGGTCCACGACAAAGAGTTGGCAGCAGAGGATGAGCAGGTGTTCCTAATGAAGCAGCAGGTAAGAAGAGAATGACATTTGAACAGAGGCCTTCTCATGCATGCAGTGCCAATTCCCTAGGAGGGTGGGGGCTACCTGCGTGTGGGAGTCACACAGTGGGCTGAGCTGTAGGGGTTGAGACCAGGACTCCAAGCTCCTTCCTCTTTCTAGGATTGGCAGGTGTTGGACCACCTCCCTCAGAGTGTCTGTCTGCCACTTCCTTGCAGATTCTCCTGCAGAACTAGGCTTATTACAGTGGTGGCAAATGTATGGTGCACATGCCAAAGCAGGCTGTTGTTATCATTGAAAGCTCTAAAAAGGTTCACCATCCCTGACTTAGTATCTTTTTTAAGTGCCTTTTCTCTGAAAAGTTAGGTTTTCTGGCATACCTCCTGAGTTGACAAGTTTTACTGAGTGACCTAGTCAGACTTCCTTAATTTCACATGATCCTCCACAGCCTGGTGCACAAAGATAGGTAGTGTCCATTTTGTGGGTGAGGACAGTAATTTTCTCAACCTAACAGTGTAAAAATATAAACTCAGTCTCACATTTCTCTTTCACCTGACATGTCATGAGTCTGCCTGAGGGTACAGGCAAGTCCCAGAAGGTAATCCCCAAACACACATACACACTGGGGATCAAACTCAGGACCTTGCACTTGCCAGGCCGGTGTGCTGCTGAGCTACATCCCTGGCCCTCAGAAAGTTTTGACAGTTCTTTTTCCAACTCTTCCACCTTTCTGTGTCCTGGTTGCTTCTTTAGCTTTAAGTGGTTACCAGATTTTTACCATGTAACCAGCTGCTCTATGGATAGGTTTTTTTTGACTTAGTGGTTAGTGGCACCCTCTAGTGGAGTACTAGGACTTAAGTTTTTCTCCAGACCTCAGTGCACTCTGCAGGCCTTGGTTAATGGCCAGTTTGTCCCTCTCTTTGCAGTCACTCCTTGCCAAGCAGCCAGCCACGCCCACAAGAGCCTCCGTAAGTACCTCATACCAAACAGTCATGGCCCAGTGTTGTGAGTATCTTTAGCCTTCTTATCATTATTTGTGAGAACTTATGTTTGTGTGAGCTTTTGTATTCTCAAAGAGAGTTTGGTCTTCCTAACGGCCCACAGCCAAGAACATGGTAGAATCTCAGGAAATGTTTGATGAAGCACTGCCAAGAATCAGAGTGAGCTGGTTTTATTACCTTGTTATCTTTTCTCTTAGGAGAAACTGAGCTCTAGAAAGGGACTAACCTGGGAACAAATTCCTAGTTCTGTATCCTGGACTGGAAAATGTCCTACAGAAGCATGTCTTCATTTTTGGAATTTGTATTTTCTATTACCATACTTTTATGCTTGTGTATGATCTAGACTGTTTTTGGAATTAGGAATCCCCTGCAAGAGGACCCTCTGGCTCTCCAAGGACTCAGGGCCGGGGAGGGCCAGCCAGTGTGCCAAGCACCTCCCCAGGAACATCAGTAAAGAAGCCAGACCCAAACATCAAAAGTATGTATCCTGTCTCTGGAGAGTGGTTTAGTCCTAGGTCTAAGCCCTACAGGGATGGCTGGGTCTCAGGTGGAACCCAGGAAGGCTGAGGCCTGTGTTCTTCCCTGAGATAGGCTGCTTTCTGCCTCCTCCCTCCCAAAGGGTGGGACCATGGAGGCATAGGCCAGGCCCTGATCCTTTGTTGGAATTGGTAGTCTAGCCACCTAGCATTGTATAACACCTCCTTTTAACCCTGCAGTTCCCTTCAGAAGAAAATGCAAAATAGGAAGTGATTTTTAAAATACATATTTTGAACCCTAATATTATTTCTCATATTATTACTGTTTTGAGTTGTGGAATTTTTTTCTCCTTTACAGCTTTTGTCAGTCTGAATTAGTAGTGTAAGCAGCTGTTACCCTAGTGGCTTAATACCCAAAGACAATGGCTGCAATAAAACTTTCGAACAAAATTCTGCTTAATACTTGGATGTTTGAAGAGCATCTTCTACTTAGAATATGACCTGTTCATAGCAGGCTAAGAGTGCTGTGGGCTTAAACTGAAAAACAAAGACATCTCCTTGAGGACAGGGAGATAATGTGGAGCACAGGTTAATCTTTATGCCCCAAACAGATGGAAAAGGTAAACACATTTCCACTTAGTAATTATGCTAACACAATTAGCCTTAACAGTGGTGATAGGTAAAGAATTGTAGTAAATGAATGGGATCAGTATCCTAAGAAGGTGATAGCTACAAATGTCTAATTCTAAGCTAAGAACCAGTTTTTTGTTCTAATTCCTTCAATTTGTATAATGCTCTTTTTTTCTGTTTCCTTAGATAATGCAGCAAGTGAAGGGGTGTTGGCCAGCTTCTTTAATAGTCTTTTGAGTAAAAAAACAGGTTCTCCTGGAAGTCCTGGTGCTGGTGGTGTACAGAGCACAGCCAAGAAGTCAGGTACAGAGGGGCCCTCCAAGGCTTAGGCTTATGATCCTTGTGGCTGAACAGTGCTAGAAGGATGGGGTAGACAGGAGTATGTGCCTTTATGTGACCTACAGACCGTCAGTAGTATTCTGAACAGCTCTGCACCCAAGTAGATTTGTACTTTACACTGAGCAGGTTGCCATGCTTTTTATGGGGTTGTGTCCTTAGCATACAGCTTTCCTTCACACATTTAACATAGTCCCAATGGCTTGTACCACCTGATGGGGCTCTGCCATGCTGCCTGATGGAACAGTCATCCCTGTATCACCAGTGATTCAGAGCCACCCCACAGCAAGACATACAACTTAACTGTCCTGTCATGAATGTGTTAAAGTCAGGTTCACATTGTTCAAGTTGTTGGGTGAGTTGAGGTATAGCCTAAATTGTGAACTTGATCAAGCAGCCATGTCCAACCTACAGCCCACCTTTATTATGCCCTTATTTTTTTAAATGTTATGATTTAAAAATATTTTTTAGAGTTTTGTTATGTACATTAACTATGTTATATATTTTATATGTGGCCCAAGACAATTCCTCTTGACTCAAAAAACAACGAGCCCACAGAAAAGATGGGCTGCAGGTTGGGCAAGCAGTATATTATTGGCATTTTATTTGTTCTTTTAATTTTCTGTGATGCAAAAGATTTTTGTTCATTCCACTGCCCCTAGTCTTACTGTGAGCTGAAACCTGTGACTGAACCCTCACTGTCTCACTGAGGAGGTCATTGTCTGGCTCCTCTGTGACATCTACAGTGACCCATCCACCTGACCTTGCATGTAGGGTGATATGGGACAAGTCTGTTTTGGAGATCTCTAAAACAAAAGAACCAAGTTCCAGGGGAATTACATATGTCCTCAGGTAGCTGAAAGATGAGATGAGGTGATGTGCTGGGAGAACAGGGTCTCACTCATGCTGGACAAGCAGTGGTGAACATTTTTAAAGCTTCTTTTGCTTTTAAATTTCCATTGGTTATAAGGTTATAATACAGTTGGTTATAATACATTGGTTATAATACAGTGTTTTTCCCGACTGATATTTGCAAACAGAGAAGACCCTAAGGAGATCATTCTATCCTTAGGGAATTTTGGCCTAAAGACTGTTAGAGACTCAGGGTCTCGTCTGGTGGTGATGAGTATGGGCTATTATTATTTCTTTAACAGAGATACAGGTCATTTTTCAGATCCCAGTTAGTGTTTGACAACAGAAAACTATGAGCCCCACCTGTGCAACTGACCAACTGAACTTCTGGTGTTGGTCTTATCTTCTTATTGAACCACAGTATTTCCAGGCTGTCCTTGAAAGTCAGTCTAGACTATAGAGTGTTGTAATTAGGAACAAAACCTGATTACTTGTCTGGAGCAAAGAAAGTACTTTGCTTTCTGCCTGAAACTCCAGTGCACACCTCTGGCAAGATGGCAGAGTGCACAGGAGTTAGAATTGGAGGATGAGAGGGTTTTGAGAAAGGCCTTTTCATTTGGCACAAAGGCACTCCCTGCCAAGGGCAGCCACATAGCTAGGGAAGCTTAGACCTATGACATTTGGAATAATGAAGGGTTAATTTAGAGTCTGCCTTATGGTCCTTGGAAAAAACGGCTACGATCACCACAAATGTTTACAGAAGTCTGTATAATTTTAAATGTTTCATTTAAAAAATTATTTTCTGTTTTCACATTGCTGCTTTGCTTTTTCTCCCCCTTTGTTAAGGACAAAAGACTGTGTTGTCAAATGTTCAGGAAGAACTGGATAGAATGACTCGAAAACCAGACTCCATGGTAACAAACTCTTCAACAGAAAATGAAGCCTGATCCTCCTTAAAATGCACATGTCAAATGACCAAATAACTATGTATATTGATCTGCTAAGACCAGGATTTTTCTGATATGGCACATGCTATCAGTTTTTGGGGGTAGGGGAGATGAACTTTTAAAAAAATACTTCATTGGCTTGTCCCAAGTGTGAAATGCACATTTTGGAAGGTTATGTGTCAGACCTCTTACTAAGGATAACCCTTGGACTCTTCAGGCATGTAGCTGTTGCATGGGAAGAGCACAGCTGGGCTTGTGGAGCAGAGAAAGGGGCCCACTTTCCATCACAGTGGAGCAGATGAGACCAAGAAATCATTAATCAGTTGGTGGTTAGTCTGACCAGTTGTGTGTTAGCAAATTCGCTTGTTCTTGGGAAGCAGATTCAGTAGCAGAAAGTCCAGGAAAGAAAGACTAAAAGGAATGAGAGAAGTGATGGTGGGGAAGCTGAATGTTGAGGGAGGTAGAGGAAGGAGGAGATAAGCAGTGTTAGTAAATACTGTGCTCAGTAGAGTCAAATAATCATTGTTTAAGACTTAAAATTAGAAGCATTTCCAGGCTAAACACTAAGCAAAATGGGACTTAGACCTGTCCTGAAGGCATCTTTTTAATTTATGGAAGATGTGTTAAGAGTGTGGTGCCTGAGTCAGTTGGGGCTGACACAGGGATGGGGAGGATGGCAGCTGCCCAGGACCCACATAATTAGCCCAAGCCATGTGCCCAGGGAGGTCCTGGGCTCCATGCATGTGCATTGTAGGGCAGGCAGTCACTGTGGGTTGTGTTCAAAGTCAGCAGATACAATATTAGTTTACTTTATGTTTTCTAAATAGCTCCTGCTTTGTTTTTTAAATTAAATTTTTGGTTTGGTTTTGTTTTTGTTTTTTTTACTACCACAGGCTGGCCTAATAATAGAAAATGGGTGATTGACATCTCATTTTACCATAATGCAATGTGTAACAGAAAGTTTGGGGGAGGTTGTGAATGTCACTGTACTCTGGTTAATTGGCTTGCACCAGTCCCTGCCTTATAGTCTGTTGAAACCTTTATGGAGTTCCACTGATGTACAAGGATCTTGTCCCAGAACCCTGGTCTGATCAGTACTGTCATGTGGAGGACAAATAAGTGTGAATGTTTTATATTGAAAATGAAACAATTCTTTTGTGTTTTTCATAAAATGTAGCCTTTTTTCTTATGGAAATGAGAGTTTCATATGTCTCCCCTTTTAGGGCAAATTCATGCACATTGTCATGTCACACCACCATTCTGGGAATGACTTCTGTGGACTTGAAATGGCACTTTAATTTTACCTATGACACAGCATTTAAATCCAAACACTACCATGAATTTCATGTATAAAACATTTGTTGTCAAACCAAGGAAAAAACCACAGTTCACTTATGTGGAGTTTACTTTTTTATATGAATGTTTATTGTACTGTGTCTCCGCATAACTTCCCTAATGTCATTACTTTTACATAACCAGATTTGACTGACCACTAACATAATATTGGGCGTAACTTAAATCCTATGTTATATAACAAAACTCTTCAGACTGTCTTGAATTGCTTTTGTAAAGGTCTGAACACTGTTAAGGAGAAAGTTGTGTATTTACTTGCCTTTCTGACAAAAAGATGTTTATTGTGCCAGTTTTATTGGTGAAATATACTATTTTTTTTCCTTTTTTAATTCAGCTTTTTTTTTTTCTTTTTTTTTTAATGTATTGTGGCTTCCAATTACCAGGTTGTCTAGGTAATGACAGTAAACTGTGGAGCAATAGTTGTGTAGTGACCAGTAGATGCCAAACAGTTTATGGCCACACAAAAGGTGGGGTCTCTGTAGCAGGTAGGGGCAGAATGAGTGACCACAGAAACAAGAAGGAATTCTTGGAAAGGCACATGTCTAAGAGGGAAACAGAGTGATTTTAAATTCTAATGCAAAATTTAAATTTGTATCATTTGAACTGATAAGCACTTTTTGGGTCAGTGGAAAATGTACTAAAACCGCAAAATGGCTAAGATGACGGTCTTGTGAAGGAAGGTTTCTTGGAGACCACTTTTATTCTCATGACAAGTGGATGCTTCTAGTATCAGAAGAAATTGATGCATAGTGTCATGTGCTCAGTGGTTGCCAAAGTCTACCAAGTTTGGGGAACTTCAGGGTTCTTTTATGCGAGGGGGAGAGGGGAGATGATTTTTACTTTAGGGTTTTCAAGCATTGGAACCAAAGCCCAAATAATAAGCAGCCTTTACTTTTTATTTTTTATTTTATTTTATTTTTTGGTACTGGGGATCGAACTCGAGTCCTTGTGCTTGTGCAGCAGGCAGCGAAACCACTGAGCTAAATCCCCGGCCCCAGCCTTTACTTTTTAAAGTAAAATTCATTTTATTTGCTGAATACACTTGTATGGTAGACTGTTAATTTATATACATTATAGTGGTTACATCTGCTGTTTGTCTTTAAAATGAAAAAATAAACCCAACCTAAAAGATATGGCCCAGATGAAGGCCATGGATTGATCTTTCTAAAAATGCAACAGGAATGCTGCTAGATTATTTTATTTTGTTTGCACTTTCTTTTTGGGGGATTGGCATTTTAAAATCAGTATTTAAACTGAAGAAATTATTGTGTTTTATTTAACGAAGTTGAAAGTGACTGCTCTGTACATCATGACCTTAACAATGTTGATGCTGTAAGTGAAAGTTCACTGTCATCTCTATGCTAAGTTCATTGGTGTTTTTAACTTAAAATTAGGACTGCAGATAATCCCCCACCAGCCTTAGTCCAGGGTGTGGCTCTATCCGGGTGCAGTATGCAGTCATGTGGAAACTTGCTTTCTAGCACTGGGGAAAAAAAAGATGTCTCTAATTACTGGCTTCAATAAACATGAATCCAGACTGCTTACAATTTTGGGTGACTTTGTGTTTGATAAATCATCCCACTGAAGATTCATTGTCTGCTAATATGGGGTGTCTGATCATGTAGTTAAAAATATGTACTTCAGGGCCGGGGATTTAGCTCAGTGGTTGCGCCACCTGCCTTGAAAGCGGAAGGACCTGAGTTCGATCCCTGGTACCAAAAAAAAACAAAACAGAAAAATGTGTACTTCTCTCCCTTGAAATTATCAGAAATTCTGATAAGGAAAAGCATTTTAAAGCCAAATGTTGAAGACTGAGAAAATCAGAGCTGTGTGTAGAGTGCAGCAGGGTTTGGGAGTTGTCCAGCATGTTTTCTTGCCTCTTGAATAAATGTTTCATTGTCTGAATTGAGCAAAGTGATTTTCCCTTTGCATATTGAGGAGTCAGAAATTTCAGAGCAACTATTATATACCTTAATACTTTTCATTTACTTAAAATCGGGTACAGTAAAATCTGTTCAAGAAAAATTGAAGATTGCATTTCTTACTATTGCACTCAAATTTTCTCAGGTTTTTATTATGAAAATTTCAAAGCTGTAGAAAACTTGAAAAAGAATATATTGAGCATCCATATTTCACAAAGATTCACTTAATTAAGGTGGTATCCTTTGGCTGTCTCAAGCAATCTCTGGGGTGATTTGGGGGTTATTTCATTTGATGATACTATAGTAATGTAATAGCAAATAGTTACATTAGAGGTTGCTATATACCAGTCACTCTTCTCAGTGTTTCATGCAAATTGATTTATATTTACAACAACTCTGAGGCAAGCACTACTTTCTTCATCTTAGTTTCCCCACAACCACACTAAGACAGGTAGTAAGTAGCTGCTACGGTCAGAGCCTGGACTTGAGCCCCAGCAGTCTAGCTGAGTTTGGGCTCATTGCTGTACTCTGCTGGCACTTGTGTTGTTTACACAGAGCAGATGGCAAAGGTGGTAATTGAAAGTGTTTTTTAGGGCCGGGATTTAGCTCAGTGGTTCCACCGCCTGCCTCACAAGCACAAGGACCCGAGTTCGATCCCCGGTACCAAAAACAAAACAAGAAAATGTTTTTTATCTGTGGTCCTCCCCAGCTGTGTGCTGCTTTTCCACCTCTTCTTGCTATCATGGATGCAGGAGCCACTCTTGTTAGGTGGATAAAAATAGCAGATGGAGAATGTATCCAGTGCACCTGTGCAAAGGGGAAGGGGGCTGCTGTCACAGTATCTTCCTGAGAAAGACAGGTTGAGATGCCTGCCACTCTTTTTTTCCCAGTACCAGAGATCGAACTCAGGCCTTGCACTTAGGAGGAGGTGCGGCACCACCCAGCCCCTGACTGCCACTCTTTATATAGAAAAGACTTCTTAGGCACAGAGAGCTTTAGGGCTCATCTGTGTCAACAGCCCACGTCAGGCTTGAGACAGTTCTTTACCACTGCAGTTGTCCCTGAGTGTGCATATGAGGCTCCATGGAGAACTGGCCTGCTGGCTCACCCCCTTAGGGACCCTCATACACCATTCACCCACTGTGGATTCCCTGTCCTGGGAGGGCACAAGCTCTAATGCATTCTAGTCCTACAATCCTAGTGCATTATCTCACTTGCAAGTCAAGCATGGACAATTTAGACAAATTGAGCAAGATATAAGACAACCAAAATTGGGAAGCATCACTACTCTTGGCCCTCATTTCCCTATCTTTGTAAATTGGAAGTGAAATTTCTTTTTAGACATGAACATCAGAGGGTATATGGTAGGTGTTTGGTGTAATTGTTGATCCTGATTAACACACTCCCTGATTAATATTGATTGTAGTTTAAATATCTCTGAGGAACGGAGGTTAGAGGGATGGGTATGTAGTCACCATTTACCATGATGATTCATGGTACTGTTCCTATAGGATGCTATAGCTGAGCTCTGGATTCTGGAAGCAGGGGATGGTATTTGGTATTGCATTCCTTACCCTGCAAGGCCTGCAGACAGCTAACAGATACCGTGTGCTGTCTTGCTGCCTGTGACTGCCTGATGAGGCATACATTGTATGTTCTAACAGGGACAGATGACAAGCCAGCAGCAGTGGGGCTGAACAAAGGAAGAAGAAGCTGACACACCAAGGTGCACCCTGCTGGCTTGCAGGAGCAGAGCCACCAGTGTCTCCCTGTGCACTAATGTTGAAGGAATATTAGTCTGAAGGAAGAAGAGGCAGAAGTTTGTGCTGAGACAGGTTTGCAAGGCCAGAAATGGTTGGGGGGTGGGGATTCAGAGCAGTGGGCACCAGGGCTGTGTGTAGGACAAGAAGTCCTTTCCCTACCCCTGAGTGGTATTTCAGACAGAAAGCACTTGATCTTCCAAGTGTTTCTAACCTTGGTAGGAAATTCATATGGAGCCTTGTGCTAGTAATTCTAGCTCCTTGGGAGGCTGAAGCAGGAGGACCACAAGTTGGGGGCCAACGTAGTCTAAAAGACCCTGATACTAAAAAGAGACTGGCAATGTAGCTCAGTGGTAGAGTGCTTTCCTAGCATGCACATGCCCCCAGGCTTGATCCTTAGTGCTGAAAAAATAATTTTTAAAGGAAATTCCTATGTGAGTAGAGCTACAAGCTTTTGTAGTACTGTTAACATTTAACTTTGCATTCCATCTTCATTGTTTTCATCACCTAACTCAAGATAAATGGCAACAACAATGAGATATTTTCATGTGTAGTGTTTTTCTGTGACATTTTAATGGAACCTGTTTTTGCAAAGTTCTGAATTAACATTCCTAAGTGATCAACAGTCTGTCTTTCCCACTGGCCTCCCCCCAAACCCACTAACCCCATCACTGCCTCTAAAGAACTAAAGTTCTACTAGAAAAGGCCAACACAATGTGAAGCATTTAAGTTTTTGTTATGGGAAAAATTTAACGATGTAAAACTGTTCCTTTTTTTTTTTCTTTCTTTCTTTTTTTTTTGGTACTGGCAATCGAACACCGGGACCTTGCGCTTTTGAGGCAGGTGGCAGCACCACTGAGCTAAATCCCCGGTCCCCTTTTTAAGATTATAATTTATTTTATAATTTATTTTAGAGTTTGAGTGCCATGGTATCTCAGCAGCCTGTGTCATGTTACATCTATACTTGATATTTAGAGTATTTAGCACTATTTTACAGTGCATCCTTTTCTGACCTATTCAGACGTAACAGATGCTAGCCCAGAATTAAACTTGGATGTATATAGGAAACTAAACACTTAATTGTTTAAATTTTGTTTACAGAAAATGTGTGCATGCTGAGAAGGGACTTCAAAGGTTCTAGTTCATGACAGGTGGTTTTGTACCCTGAGGGGAATGCATGGTCTCCAGCAGGCCTAGAGAAGGGAACAAACCTCAAAGCTCTGTTTGAGATTGTTCTGTTGCAGGTCCTGCCCATAATGGGCTGCCTTGCTTTTGACAGTCCTTTGCCCGTTTCTAACAGCCTAATCTGGAATGTCCTAAAGTGTGTTCTAAAAGGTACTGTCTAGTTAGGTGATCTAAACCTGTCTAGCAGGTTTAGAAGACTCAAGGTTAAACAACATTAAAACAGATTTTTGTTTTGATTTGTTTGGGTTTTTTTAATTTTTTTTTTATTTGTTTTACGGGAACTGGTAGGTATGACTTCTAAGAAGTGCCCAGGTGTGGGGTTTCCCATCCAGCTTTGTGCACATCCTCCAGGTTCCACAGAATGCCCTTTGAGTGTCCATATACTGGGTGCTGAGCCTCCGTCAAGGTCTGTGTTTCTGTAGTCCTTGGAATTTGGACTTTGGTGATACTATCTCATGGCTTCCATTTCCTGTCTCCTGCCTTTTGTTGCTTTTGCCTTAAGGAACACCAACATCTGTAAATTGGTGAGTTTGTTTTAACTAGGACACCCCTGGTAATTTTTAGCCCCTGAGAGTAGGTTTCTTCTGTGATGCTGATAGCACTCTCCTAGGCACAAAGGGAAGTTAAGCACATGCTTCCCTGCATTTGACACCAGGTCCTTAGAATCATCACCAAACACACCTTACTCTTCCACTGTGTCAGATGGTTCTCCCTGCACTTGAAATCATAAGTATTCTGCAGTCAGCTGCTCTGATATAAAAAGAAAACTAGGGCTGGGGATTTAGCTCAGTGGTTCTGCTGCCTGCCTTACAAGGGCAAGGTCCCTAGTTCAATCCCCGGTATGCCCCCCCCCAAATAAATAGCCCACAGCCACAGCCTGATACTAGGGCTGTGTCAGCTAGGAACCTGGAGTCAGGTGGACTTGGGTTGTATGACAGTGGAAAAGTCCCTTAGCTTCTCTGGATGTCCATGTCCTCTAAAGTGGCAAGAATATTCACCCAGTCCCAGGGAGTCTGGGTACCCTGACTGAGATGCATGCTTAGCATAGCGCCTTGGCACAGTGTCCAGAAATAGAACCAGCTCCAAACTAATTATGTGATGGACAAACCTTAGTTCATGAAAGAGCCTTAGGAATTGCTGCCTTAGAGATGGGGAACTTGGGCTGTGGAGAGAACTTAATGCCACCATCACACAGAAAGGAACAGAATAGGATATGAGAATCCCAGTGTCACTGCTGCCTTCCTTTCCCAGTCTGCACACTTTTCTCCCGCTCAGGCAGTGCTAAACACTAGGTCTTAAATCTGAAGAAATAAACTGCTGGTTTAGACTGCAAGAGAACTATTTTAGGACAACCTCCCAGCACACCATAAATTCCATCACCTGGGCAACTGCCTGCTTTCTTAGGCCAGGCAGCTCTCTGCCATCTGCATGTGTGGGCATTCAGATACATAGTTGAGATGTGTGGCCTCCTGGGGCCTCCTTCCTGTCCTGGCCAGTGGTAGCCACCTTCCAGGGACCTGTGGGCATAGGTTGGGGATGCTGCAGATGCTGGTTATGGGGACGGGGGAACAAGGTGGACCCTGCCCTTCCTGGGCTGGTAGTGTCCTGGGAGAGACAAGCAATTCATGTGATGTCTACCACACTCCTCTCTTCCATGGCCAAAACCTCTGTAGGGTCATTCTTTCTCCAATAACTTGGCCCCCTAGGTTTTAAGTGGGTAAGGCACGCTAGGTGTCTGTGCCTGGGGTGGGGAGGGGAGCTGCAGAAACCTAGAGTAGGTTTAGGAGCTTGAACAGGGTGAAGGAGGCTATCCCTGTCGTTGGTGTTGGCAGAATGGCCTGATATGGAGTGTTGGCTAAAGCATGGTGAAGAAGGCATTCTCCTGTGGATGTGCAGCAGAATGTCAGAGCCCAGGTGGGGGGCTGTCCTGACTCCATATCAGCTCAGATAGGGCAAGGAGGGCATCCACATGGAGTAGAGCTGCCAGATCTGGGTGTGAGAACCTAAGCAGGTGGCCCAGGCATGTGGGGAGGTTATCTGCA